TCTGGAAAGCATCTCGCCAGACGCTTAACAAGCCTAGGATGACTAATTTCTCTTTAGTCTAAATCTATCATGCTCTTGATTCCTACTTGACCAAACTTCTCATCCCTAATCACAAAACTCTGTAGTTGGAAGAGAAATCAGGAGAGCGCTAGATCATTTAATTGAAGTGCTCAGAGCCCAGCCAGTAGAAGGTAGCACCCTCATTTAATCTCATTCTTCCAAATGCCGGAAGCACAGTTTTGGTGGTAGTTTAATCCTCACTGGACTCTGTTAATTGCTCCAAGCCAGAGTTAACCACAGTTTAGTCATCAGCTAATAGTGCTGCAAATCAAGGAGTCTCAACTATAGTGTTATTTACTTTTAATATTCCTATATCCCTCTACTTCCTACATCAGCATTTACTTAGTATTTTATTTAAATTGCCTTTAAAATATGTTTCAGGTGGAAAGTTTACATCATTATCATAAATGGGAAAAAGTGTCACTTTTCATAACTAGAAGGTAACCACAGAAATAAAATTGCATGCACAGTTGCTAAGTTGTGTCTGATTTTTTGCGACCCCGTGGACTATAGCCCATCCGTGGGCTCTTCCATCCATGGGATTCTCCAGGCAAGAATACTGGAGTGGGTTGCCGTTCCCCACTCCAGGGGATCTCCCTGACCTAAGATCAAACTTGAGTCTCCTGTGTCTCCTGCCTTGGCAGGTGGATTCTTTACCACTGAGCCACCTAGGAAACCCCCAAATCAAATTAACTGAAATAAAACAGAGTTAGTTCCAGCTAGCTTCAGCTGCATGGCAAAGCCATCTAAAGCCTGTTCTTTCTTCTCAAAAGGACAGTGGTGAGTTTCAGGAGTTGTTAAAACACAAAACAGACTTTTGCATTGACATAATCAAGAAGATGGAAGGAGAAATAACAAGTGCATTAACTTTCCACCATATGATTTGGTATTGAAGGCCATGATGTCTCCGAGTCATTTAAATCATCTCTTGTAAGATGTGACCTGTCCTCCTTGGAGGCTATGATGTACTTGAGGAATAAAGAATTGGCTGTAAAGAGGATTGTTGATAAACTCTATGATTTATGTAGTTCCATTCAGGATTGTTAGAAAGTATGGACAGTATACTCAGCATCCTTTATAGACCTTCTGAATCTTACTGGAATATTATTTCCCAGACTAAAAATTGCTTACAAAACAGCTTGTACATTGATTAAAATATATTCAGCATTTGCTGTACATTTTAATTTAAATTATTCATTTGATCTCTAATTTATATTCTGTTTCTACATATTTTCCTGGTCTGAATTGAGCACATCTTTGTGACTAAATATAATAATGTGATAATAACTTGTTTCAAAGATTTCCCAAAATATATATGCATACTACAGTTCTGGCATTTCCAATCCAATGGGAACATTTTTCTACATATCAACTATTTCATCAGCTTTCTGAGAGCTCACGAGAACTCTAGAAAATAAACTCTGAAGGAGATGTTCTTCTAATTTGTTTATTCCTGTGTCCTTGGGGCAGTGGTCCATGTGTCCACTGGACATTTATGCTCCATAGCTCTCTTGGCAGAGCTGTCCATGGCTAGTCCCCTCACCTCTCTTGCAGTCTTCTTAGAAATCAGGTTTTAGAGGACTGTTACTTTGGGTCAGAAACGAGGCACAAGAGTGGCTATTACTTCTCACTGTTGCTTAACCTAGAAAAGAAAGCTCTTATTTCTTTTGCTGTGGGAAGGGGGGGGTGGGGTGGTGAGGGGAGACAAGCCAAATCTAAAAATAAACTGGATTTTCTTTCTTATTCATAGGTAATTAGAGCCTCTTTGTAACTACCCATTACTACCTCAATGGTTATAGGATGAATAAATAATATATATTTTTAAATGTGGCAAAACCAAGAAAGAAGTAGCCAGGGCTGCTTCTAATTTATCAGCTTGGTGATTAAAGGGCTGGCTTGTAGAGGCTCCAGACATCTAGGGAGCCAGAGATAAAACAGGGCAGTTGGCTGTGTTTTTTCCTAATGAATCTAGGGCTTGAAAGATATCAGGCAATTTTAAAGAAAAGCAACAAGGACAAGTGACATTAGACAAGGCCAGTAGGGTAATGAAGGGCAAGGCCAGTTACTGAGAGAGAAAATTACTTCATTGTCTGTGATAATGCTTCTGTGTGCTTCGCGGGTCTCTTCTCACACTTTGTTAGCATGACTGTATATACACGAACAGTGTCGGAACGCTCCCCCCAGTGTAGAAGGAAAGAGCCTTGGAACGGTCCACAGAGGGGCAGAGGGCTGGCATCTATTATTAATATTTTGGAAAGGGGAGGCTGAACAATGGTAGCAGAAGGGGGTTAGATTGCAAGGTGAGGAACGGTGCTTTGACAGAATGTGGGGGACGCACAGAATTAAATCAAGACGAAAGACACAGCAAGGAAAAGAAAGAAAAAGGCAAGCAAACATACTCTGGAAATGCAGAACTGTTTGGAAGATGAGGTGAGACCAGGAGGGGACCAGCCCAGTGGTACTCAGCATTTCTGCAGAGCAGAGCTCCAGGCTCATCTGCTCACTGGTTTTTTTTTCCCCCCAGCAGCCAAAGTAAAAAGGGCACCAGACACTTGATTCCTCTTCAGCTAACTGGTCAGCAGATACCATTTTCTGCTTAGCGGGGAAATGTGTGGTATTTTAGAAACAATTCCAGAGTATATTTAGCTCCTAAAGCCAGGGCACACAAATGTCACATTCCCATGAGACAATTGGCCCAGTGAAAAGAGGACCCACCATAGGCCCGCAGAAAACCCACGAAACTCGCGCATCCCAGGAGATGCTGCACGCACGGATGTGACATCATTAAGGCACCCACATCAGGGAATGGAAAGAAGCAAGGGGATCACAGATTGGGTCAAGTTAAAGGACATCATCATGAGTCAGAAAAGAAACAAGACTTTTCCAACAGAGTCACGCCATCACCAAGTCATACCACACAGCACTTGGCAAAACCAAAGAAAAGTTGGAAATAAATCATGAACATTAAGTTGAAAATAAATCATAAACATTCAACAGAAAAAAAACAACACTTCAGAGCAAAATGGAAATCAAAATCATAAAAAATCATGGCAAAAGGAACATTAAGCTACATCACTTTTTTATTTTTTAACTTTTGGCATAACAACTCGTTGTCGTTGCCCCATCAAATACATAATCAGTTGTCAAAAAAATGAAGCTCCAGTTTGACAGGGCAAGGCAAAGAGCTAATAGCACAAGAATAGTGATCATGTTAAACACCCACGCAATCACCTCTGCCACCATTGTTTGACAATCTGTAGACTGCTTCCAGCTTTGTCAATATTCATAATAAGACCCAAGAGAATGAACAATGCCGAATTTTCAAATGATCTGTCAAAGTGTTAATTGGACTCTTTGATAACCTCCATCCCCCGGGAGAGTTAACGACTGGAGAAAATTCTCGCCATCCGTCTCGGGGAAGTGAGGAGGAAATGACTATAACCAACTGCTAGATATTTGGTTGACATATTTAATGCTTTACTGGAAAGGCTGTTTGGTTTTTCAGAAAGTCGCAGTGGGCAAACACAATGTGATTTTTACTGTGTTGTCTCTCCTTGAGTAGTCAGCCAAGACTAACACATCTGTGGTCGGGAGCCACACAAAACAAATGAAGGCACATGTTAGGACTGGTATGGCCTGCGGAGATAGTTCTGCCCTGACACAAATGCATCTGGTGCTGTCTTGAGATGGTGAAGAGCAGGGATCCCACCAACTTAAGTGGCTGCCGAGACACCAGCTTCTTTGAAAAAAAAATATTGGGGCAGGACATACTAGCAGTAAGAAGTTACAGGAGAATAATAAAATCGATTAAGGGGGTAAGTTAACAAGTTAAAAGGGCTGCATCGTCCCACGTGCCTTGGCATGTAGCGACTGAGTGTACAGTATTCTCAGGAGAGGAACCGCCAGAAAAAAAAGGATGAAAATTTGGCGTGAGTCTGCTGAGCAAACATTCTCTAAAAGCAGAGATGGAAGTATGTATACAGAAACCTGTGGGGGAGGACATGACAGAGCCTGTCTTCCAAAGGTCACCAGAGCTGGTCTGCCCTCCACACTCAAACCCCCGCTTGGATGAAACTCTTGAAAACATATAGAAGTAAACAATGCTGAATGGGGAGAAACAGCTCGCAACATAACTGAGCTTTTCAGTCTCTGATTTACAGGACTGTTTTTTGGACAAGTAAAGGCCTCTTCGGTTGCAGCTGCAACTAAAGTAGGATGTGTTACCAGAAGCAGCAAGTGGCGAGAAAAGAGATGACATTTCCTGTCTCTAGTCTCTAGCAAAGAAAGCCGGGGAGAATTTAGGACAGTTCACAGTAGAGTCCCTTTCATTTACCGTGGCTTCCTTTCCATTTTAAATGCATAGCAATTCTGCTTGATTAAATAACATATTTTTTTGTTTTAGCTGTTGTCCTCTAAGGGCGATTTAAGTGCATCTCAGAACCTCGGCTCTGTTCAGATTCAGCCCCATGTAAGCGTGAGGGATGGGACCAGCCAGAAAAGACTTTACCCTGCTACTTCTCCATTCACTGATTAAACGGGCTTTGACTGCAATTACATGTACTTGCCAAAGCCCGCATTGCATTCCATCTTATTATGGGGGGAAAAAAGAGGATCCAAAAATCACTGGATGAGCTAAGAGGAGTGGAAAGGGACTTTAGGAGCCAGCGTCCACTTTGGGCCAAGCCATGCCTCTCTTGGGTGGAGGAAGCTTAGAGGATGTGTTATTTGTTTTGTGTGGTTTCTCCTTGGTCGGGGAATCATTTCGGATCAAGCCTAGCACAGAGGATTGGGTTGCAGTCTTTTCTGAGACGCTTTCAATCAGAGTGTGTTGGAGGTCCGTTCCTTAAACGCTGCTGTGGTTCAGCTGGAAGCAGTTACACAGTCCTCCCCGCTCCTCCCTCCCTCTCCCCGCAGAGGAAGGGGTGCTTCCAAGGCCTTACCCTTCTTGTCCTGGTGATTATGGGAAGACACTGCCCCCAAAGAGTCTGTGCTGTCGCGTGACTCCTTCCAGTCCATCATTCCTCCCCTAGACTCATATCCCTCTTGAGCTGCCGAATCGGACGTGGTGGTGCTGGGCAAGAGGGAACTGGAGTGCCCTGTTTTCATCACAAATACAGTTAGGGGAGACATCACTGGAGACACCTGCTTTTTCTTTGCTCAGAGGCCAGGAGGTGGGACACCCATGCTGGCGGTAAAAGACTCAAAGGAGATTGCCCTAGACATGACAAGGCTGGTGGTAGGATTCGGCAGAAGAGCCCTTGAACTTGCAGTTAGAGGGTGAGGGCCAGGTCTTGTCTCTGCTGCCTGCTGGGTGAGCCCGAGGGAATCACTTAAGCTCCCTGGGCCTTGGTTTTCCTTGTGCACAAAAGAGAGGCCTCCCATGTTTGGAGGGTAAAGTGGCATCATGCTGAAAGTGCCTAGCAGTGTCTGACACATAGTAGGTGCTCAGGAAATATCAGAGTCCCTGGGTATTCCCGTAGTAGCACTAAGGCAGAATGTGTCCACTCCGGGGTAACAGTCACGATGATGGGGCAGGTGTATGGTCGTGGGTGAGTCTCTGCCCTGTCACAGACAACTCGGCTGCCCCGAGCCCTTCCCATGGAGGATGTGTCTAGTATTCGGCTGCGCCGCAGCCTCACAGGCATTCCGTTTTCTAAAGGGAGCTGCTCCAGCCCTTCTGCCTGGAATACAGGGCTAAATGTTCTGCCTTGTTATGGCTTTGCCTTTTGTGTCTTACTCAAACCAAGTTAAGTTTCATGGTCTCCTGACTCATACCCGTCAGAGGTGGGTTTGGAGGCCACCATGACTGATACGATTCAGACCAGAAAGGGAGAGCTTTCTGAGATCCAGAGTCGCCTACCACAGGATAATGCCAGAAGAAGGATGGCCAGGTTGGGAGTTGTGGCAGAAATTGGACATTTCCTGTGAATACATTTCTAAGCCTTCCTTTCCATCATCCCACAAGGTTAAATGCAGATCGCATCTGGCGCTTTGATCTAAACTGTCACAATGATTTAAAGAAGCCCTACTACCTGTTATCTCTGGTGGAAATAAAAAATAACCTCTCTGTGATTTTCAAGTGGAGTCTTTGGCTTATTAAACCATCTTACCTATAGAAGCAACCTCTTGAACAATTTTTAAAAAGACATCAGGGAACTACTGTGAATGTGTAGTTGATGCCTTTGGTAGAAAGTAGGACAGATTTCACAAGTGACTCAGCCTTGGGCTGTGATCATCACACATGTGATAAATAAAATGCCAGCCACCAAAAAGAAAGATTCTAGTGAATGCACTGCATTCTTCTTTTTCACAATTATTACTGCAAGTTGGATTTTCAGGAGACTTTAATACTGTAAATTACAGACCATGTAACCATATACATACATGGTTATATATATAATGTGTGTGTGTGAATAAAGCAGGGAAAAGCAAGCAAACCAAGTGGGTATCTAAGCTAGAGGATTTCTGTGGGAGCTCTACATTTAAAATGTTACCACAAAGCTTTAGTAACATTTAAGAGGCCTTCTGTGTAGGGCTTGTTTGGCTTCTATACAGCTTCAAATATCCACTTTGCTGCAAAAAGTCTAGTTCATATCCAACTGCTAAAAACATGTTCATTTAAAACTCAAGAATGCTTGCATCTAGATTTTTTGTTTTTTACATTTCCGGGTTTCACATTTCATCTCCCAATACTGATAAGACAACATGAGTAGGAAAATTAATAACTTGGAATTGGAAATGCAGACTTTCTTTTACTTTCTTTATGCTTATATTGAGGTCTAAAATATAGCCTCTATTTTCTGCTGTTGAATTAACCATGTTCTCATGAAACATACTGTCAACCTAAGAGAGACTTCAGCGTCCAAACAGTGAGAAATAGCTTTGTAGAGAGTCAGAAAGAGGGGGGAGGAAAAATGAAGCCTTTCCTCCAAGTAGCAAGAACTTCTTTTACCTGAATTGATATGCATTTTGAGCGCTTTCAATTTAACTGTGTTCAAGGGGCAATTTTATGGTAATGCCATAAGTATGGTTTAGGGAGAACATTTCTTAATATGGTAATCTAGGGGAAATAAATGCCTAAGGGACACATTCTCTGTAGAAAAGAGTTCCTGGACCATATGTTGCAAATACATGGAAAAGTCATTGGTAATGGAAAGCTATGGCTATGAGAGGAAATTAGTGTGGACCAGATGGTAGTTAGGTAGGAAAATGTTGCACGCAAATGTGAGAAATCAGCTTCTGCCTATTGCTGAAATGTTAGTTTAATACCCACCACATCTCTGTTTTCTCCATGTAAATCTAGAGAAACCATGCATCGTATATACTCAAATGGAAGAAAAAAATAGAGCAGCATGAGGCTTGTAATCTTTGAAATGTATGCTCGAGGACAGACAGTGTGTGTCACTGGTGGAAGCAGATAGTCGGAGAAAGCAGTGCCTGATTCTCAGGAATTTTAGAACTACCATGTGAAAGCACCCGTAAGCAGCCGTCCTTCATTTGAAATCAAAGAAGTGTATTATTATGACCTTATTATTACGACCTCTCCAACTGTTAAATAGGTATCACTCATGTTTCTTCTTAGAGTCTGATTCTATGGGCTATATTGTTTTTGTGCATTCCCTAAGAGACTCTGTAACCAAAATCATGCAACAAAAACAGGCAATCATTTGTGGATATGGTATTACAGGTCAACAATTTGGAACCTATAATTTTGTCTTGTTAATCCAACACGAAAAGTCATAATTTTAATCAGTGGAGCTTATTATGTATTATTCTTACAATATTCAAAGAAATAGATTTTAAAAGTTAACTCCAATATGCATCATATTGTTTCTCTATATCTACAAGTCTTTGTATTAGTAATTCCACAGGTTAGAGACCCTTCAAACTACTCTAACCTATTAACAGTGATGGTAGCCAATTAGACACAGAGGAGGCACTAAATCAATACAAGAGAGGATGAGAGGAGGAAGACAGTAGGGTCCAATTCACTAAAAAGGGGTCCTTGTATATGTAACTGATATTGCAGAGAGCTTCTACCATGCAGAGTTTGCATGGTTTATTGATTCTTTTTTTCAGAGTTAGGCAGTTCTTGTTCTGTGGGTTACTCTATGATGTACTCAGCCACTGAGCTTCAGTGTTATGCTAGACACAGTGGGTGCACTTTGGACTTTGAGGTTGGCTTCCTTGTTTATATCTGTGCTCATAAAAACAGCAATTTGGTTTTTCTTTTGATGGTACAAAAAGAGTACCCTATCCAGTGCCTGGCACATAGTAGGCCCTAAGCAGCTGTCTGCAAATGAATGAATTCAATCTCTTCTAGGTGTATTAGCTCCAAAATAAGCATCTTTTGCAGTAGTTTGTGTAAAGAAAGTCTCCTGTGCTTTTGTAAGTACTGTTTGAACCAGCCCTCATTTTGATGGTCAGTTAATCATCTAACCACTTTACAATGGGGAGACTGAGCCTGAAATGGACAGAATTATTAGCTGAAAGGAAAATTCCAACTCTTCTTCAGTGTCATCACAGAAACCACTGATGCAGCGATTGGGGATTGTCCTTTAAAGTGTTAATGTGGAGGAATTAATAAGTTCCCTTCCTTTTCTAAAAGCAGGAAGAGGGATCCATAAACTGAAGAGTACTTTTTGTTCATCATGAACATCCCATGCTTTAATTATTCTATCTATATGAGAAACTACCTGGGAGTTAAAATTGGCCTTAGTACGACAGATGAATGCTCAGTAGGCTGCTGGTTCAAGTAGATCTGAGACCTGAATTTCTCAATATCTGATAAATATTATTCCATTATAGGAAATGATTGCAAAGTATGATATTGGAAAGAGCAGCTGCTAACTGATTCTTTCTGAAGGGCCCACTGAGCTACATGACGTTGCCTCCTGAGGAATGTTTCTCCCAGTTGTTGGGGTTCAACATTCTGGCCTGAATCAGAGATGAGGGCAGGTTAAAGGGGGACGGATTCAGTGGGCTCACTGACTCCACACTGCCTCACTTCATGACAGGAGAGACTGGGCGTTGTTTTCCGTCTCTGTACAGCCGCCGTTTATAAGGTAGACTTTAGGACTTTCAAAGAGGCATTTTATTGATGCTAGGCATGACAGTTTCCACGGAGCTATTAAACACATTTGTAGTCATCAGGAACTGCTTCTCTGAATTCTAAATCTACCTTGCTTTCTTTTCCTTCCTCTTTTTTCTTTCCTTTATTTTGTTCTCTTCCTCTGTTACCTACCTCTACGTTGAAAGACTGACCTGGAGCTGTTACTGTTATGTATTTCAAAACATAAAAATAAATGATAAAATGTCTGCGTATCAACGAAACTTGTAGTCCCCATTATAATGCAGCAGCTTAAATTTACCGTTACATATGTGCTGTTCATTATCTTTAAAAAAAAAAAAAAACCAAATGAATAGTTTACTTTAATAAACATTTGGGGAAGCTTTGAGAAAAGAAACTGGAACATTTCAACTACATATTAACTTTCTTTATAAAGAGCTCAGAATATCTGTTTATGGACTTATGGGCTTTATTTAGTATAGTGTCTGTGTAATTTCAGAGCAGGAACAATGGGATAGATCCTGTCTGCACATCATTTCGACTGCATCACTCTTCCTTATATACATTTAAAGAAATATCACTGAAGATAGGTCTAAAAATTCATACTCCATGTATGATTAAATTTTGATGGCTATATTGGAAAGTTTTGCCTATTAAGAACTTGGTATCTGCATTCTGTATGGATTTTTCTTGCAGAGGATGTTGTTCTGAAAGTCAGCATTTTGGGGAATGGTACCATCTATCAGGTAAGGAGCTGTGGCCTATTACTTATAAGCACTGTTCTTTTATCTTGGCTGTACTTATGTCCAAAAGCAATTTCTTCTCCCTCAAGAACTCATTAAATGCATTCACCAAATTCCCTAAGGTTGGCATATTTCATGTTATGTGGATTAAAAATGTAAGACTCATTCTCACATGTCAGTTGTCTCATATATGTGGAGAAATTTTTGAAGCATCATGAAAGCTATGAATAATTTTAGTGAATTGGGGCCCTGAAGTAGCAAAGGATCTGGTCCATGATGTTTAGGAATGAAAACTCTAAACTACCACAGGATGAGTGGCTCGAAGACTAAGAAAACAAAACAAAACCATAAACTGACCATATACTGTGTTGTAAGACATTTCATGATCTGGTAGAGGAGTTGAAATGTCTATAAAAAATAATGAGAATTTAAAAGTTAATTGAAAAAGAAACATAAGATTCGGAAATACTCAAGAGGGTTAGTGAAATAGGATTTCACGAATAGATTTTCATTGCTATTAAATTATCAGTAACATCTTCCTTACCATTCAGTGCCACGAAGGAATCTGAAAGACAAAAGGGAAGAGTGAGTTACTTAATGTTTAACACTCTGCTCAATGTGACTTTTGTAATCAGTGGGAATGAGCGGATTCAGAGCTGCGCTAACATACAAGGTCTATACTAAGTAAGTGCTTTTTAGTTTCTGCTTGTAACAGGAGATGCTTCATATTTGGTTCACTTTCATATCCCTGTGTCTCTTTACCAAGTGGGTTTCCTCAAAGTCATGCCTTTGTTGCCAAGAGGCAGAGAAAAAGCAGGCGTGAGTGCAGGGCTAGGTAACTGCGATTTGACATAAGCCCTGCTCCATCAGGAAGGATGTGTATATGGATAAGATGAGTCACGTCTGGACCACACTTACGAAGCACTTGTTCTTTATATTCTCTCTCATTTCATCCTCCCAACTGTGCTGTGAGGAACTGTCCAGTATCACAATGTTCTGACCTCAGCAGGGGTTTAAGTTAGGAAATTAACAAAAATAAAAACCACACATATAGACAACATCCTGTTTGTGTGCACGCCCGCATGTAAGTATGTGCTGTGTATCTGGGTCATGTCACTGGTTTACTCAGCCTGCTCCTCAGCCTCTGATACTGGCTGTTTATGCTTTTCTCATTTCCCCTAAAACTTCTGTGAGAGAGTCCTTGTGTAACAGGTATCAAAGTCCTGTGAACGCCTGGGTGTGACTAGGTAACAACTAACAGAGGTAGGTCACGCTCCAGTGGGCGCCCACTAGAAAAGTGACTACCTGCCGCCTGGAGTAGGCACCCTATGTGCCTCAGTGGGAATGGGGTGTCAGGTTATGCGGAACATGAAAACACGGGGCCTTGACCCCTGAGACTGAGGGTAAATCTCCAACCTTGGACCTGAAGGCCTGCCCCGTGCTCCGCCCTGGGACCCGGGGGCGGTGTGAACCTGCTGGTGTAGTTGACACCTCAGAGAGCCAGTAACATTTTCCCACTTTTCATGTGTGCACCTATTCAACCCACATCGATACCCCTGTTTTTTCTACAGAGGCCTTTATCATCAACTCATAAAAATATGAAGAAAATATTCACTGACGTCAGCTAATTAAGTTCACTCACAGAGACACACATACAGACCAAAGCTTGTTTTCCCTAAAAACGGCACTGGAAGGCGCCAACTTGACTAAGGTCCACCAATCACCATCACACTGTTTCGCTGCACACACCTAACAGATCTTTCGGTGATGCCACTGTCTCCTATGTCTACTTCTTAATTCAGATTTTGTGTGTGAGGACATAGTAGGAAAAAGACAAAGGAAGGAGCTTTTGCCAATATATATTTGCAAACAAAAAATATATATGACCAAGAATTTGGAGATGAGGCTGTCTGAAGCCCTCTTTATTTAATTATGTCTCTTCTCCAGAAAAGATAAGGTATTAAATGGCACCTAAGAGTCTGTCATTTCAGGACTCATGGCTCAAAGATGGGAGAGTTATATCCATGATTTTCATTATCGAATCAAGTATCAGAAGTAATATAGTTTCATTCCCCTAGGAGCCATTTTTGGTGCCATTCTGAATGCAAGCTTCTTGAAAATTCATCACATATAACATTTTGAAACATGGCAAACTAAACATTTTTCAAGGGTATGGCATTATTCTCTAAATTAGTGTTAATAAACCATTTTCAAGAGAATATGGATATTAATCAGATCGCTGAACAGCTGGGCAGAGTTGTGACTAGGATCCTTTATATAAAGTTCTAACTAAAATATTAACATCCAACTAGTCCATCCTAAAGGAAATCAGTCCTGGGTATTCATTGGAAGGACTGATGTTGAAGCTGAAACTCCAATACTTTGGCCGCCTTATGCTTTTTTTTTTTTTATAGTTTTTTATTCTTTAATTGGAGGAAAATTGCTTTACAGTGTTGTGTTGGTAAAGCTGGTTTTTAAGTGGAAATGCTGATATAGCTAACTGTTCTGCTACAGGTTCATCCTCAAGAGTGAATTTGTTCCACAACATTTATGATAACGAACTAGGTGCCAGCATTTTCAGCAACAGCACTGACAACTCTGGCTTCAAAAGACACTGTTTTCTCTGATATTTAGAAGGTGATTTATGTTATTTTTGCATGTTTTAGAGGCAGCTGCACTCAATTTCACATGTGGGGTCATGTTTCTAGGCCATTCTATAAAAGCATCTTTTATCGACTAAATATCCAAAAACAAGCATGGATAAAAAAACTCCACTTACTGTGACAATCCCCCAGGCCATCGGTATTGCCACGCTCTATGTCCTGTTCAAAAGTCAGTCTTCAAAAGGAAGGAGGGAGAAGACAGAAACAGATTCAATGATATGAGTTTATTCCAGCATGTGTCTTAAGTTTCACTAAAGCAACTAACACAGTTTAAAAAACTGAGTGCCAGGTATAAAAAGAAGTAGACAAAACAGCTTGAAAATTTATCTCCGAAGTTTATAGAAATGAGTCCTTTGTGAATCTCCAAGGAGAAGCCATGGTTTGGGCAGTCAATTCAGGTTTTATCCAGGGGGTAAACAAGTTTGTGGATTACCTATATCACTCTTTGCTGCTAATGCCCTGAGCATTTTTGAAACATCTGAAAAGTTTAAATGTTAACCAACATCCTGATGTAAGTGATACAGAAGTCTATACCTTAAGAAAAGCGTTTTCCTCTCTCCTTTCTCTTTACCCCAACTCTTGCCTTCTTAGACCGTTATCTATTTCTTTGTTTAGAAATAACTTTGTATAGCAAAGTGTTCACAGCGGTCAGTGGATATAAGGGGCCTCTGAGAGGACACAGGACACAGTGGTGTGTTTTGCTGAAACTATGTGGGTATTTTGTTCACACCTGGCCCCACGTCCAGTCCTCAGGAGTATTGCTCTCATTCTCCTTTACAGGTTCACTATTCTTTCAAGTCCACTAGGTTACCTTTGGGCTGCATAAACTCTATACCCCAAAAGGACTGATCTTAATAGTATCTATTTTGATTTTTAAGTAAACACACTGGAATAGTCCAAAGGAATCTTGTTTTTTCGGGGGAACTCTGCTCTTCTTTCTGCAACATACTCAAAACTCTGATTTTGCAACTGCCTTCAGAGTTTATTTATGAGCCATCTCGGAAAACTACTTTGACAGTCACACCTTGATCTAATAATCTGCCGTGTTTGTTTCTAGTGTTTTTATGCTATGTCAAAAATCAAATTCAGCCTCAAAGGATAAAGATTTCTAGTTGTAATGAAAGCCAGGATTCACCCGGTCCTGAGGCCATGTTCCAAGGAGAGTTCCACGTGGTTTGAACAATTGGGTTCTCATGCTGACTTAAAAATGATTCTTAAAATTCAGTCTTATTACCTTTGTTACACCTTGACTAAAGAAAGGAGATAGGCCATTTCTCAGCTTCTCTCACTGTGCACTTCTGTGATCCTTCCTCCTTCGCTTCAAGGTCCCCGTGAAAAGCTATAAAGCTCTCACACTGTCGTCTGTCAGTATTGCTACTTGCAAAGCTGATCTAATACTGCATGGTGAGTCAACCCTTTGCATTAGCCAGATTTCCAGGTCAGACTTGACAGTTTACATCAGCTCTGTTTATGGGAATACTTTCCCTCAAATTATGCAGGTGGCGGTCAATCAGCTGTCCTATCTAACTTGCTATTCTCAGATGGGAGAGGGGGCTCTCCCATTGAGTTGGGAGGACAATTCCTTTTGCCTGGTGGATTAGGGGAAGTGAAGAAATGACTACAAAAGAACTGTGCTGGCATCTGGCATCTTCCTTGAAATGCCATAACCTGTCAAGGACATGCACTGAATATTTCTCCAAATATTATTTTGGATTTCAAATCCACAGAAGTAAAAGCATAAAGCCTTTGAACTGACACCATCCAAGCACTGGAAGTCAGGGTAACAATTCTCAGCACCAAAATCACATGCGTGGTAGACTGGCTTGATCTAGCTGATCTGCTGGAGAAATGCCAAGAATTGATTGACTCCCTAATGAGGAATAGGGTCAGCTGTTCCATAGTGCAGGAGAGAGGTTTATTGGATGTGTACACCATGCTTGCAATACAAATGCATTGCTTATTAACAAATGCCCTGCAGTTTCTTCTCAGCCCTGGATGGTCAATTACAGGGGCCAGTTTTGCTATGGCTGGGACAGACCACATCACTAACCTAATTGGTACCCTCCTGCTCCCCTCCTCTGCCGTTCTTGCACTATGATGATCAAGGCACATACCCTCTTGTCCCTCTCCCCAGGGAATACTTAAAGTCCACTGTGTTGTTTTTCTCTGTTTTTACTAAGTCTGAGGATGGATGATTAATCAATTGGAAGTCTGCCACGTGTGATGTTGGGGTATTCTATGAAATGGGAAAAGGAAGGAGAACGGCTGGCAGTCACAACGATGAGGTATGTGCACAGAAGGCCGAGCGGCAGTGGTGTGTGTGAGCACAATCAATCCTATGTTTAGGCCACTTTAAACTCTCCCATGCCTCAGGCTCCTTACCTGCTGCTGGGCGACAGATGAGCACATGCACCTGCTTCCTTTACCCACCCACAGTAGGGGTCTCTGGAAGCAATACAGGTTCTGCAGGAAGAGAATGACTGTGAGCTTACCTAGGACTCTTCCCTAAGCACCGTGAACATCCAATGATCAATGAGGCAAATACATACTTTTTACACTTGCCATGCCGCTCACACCGGCCAAGGGGAACCTTGATCACACAAGTGGAGAATGCAACATACAGAGAGCTGCTGGCTTTGTCCAGCTGCATGCCCATGATCCTCTTGTCTTCTACTCCGTCATAGCTGCACCTAAATTTTTAAGGCAGGATAATATCATTCATAGTCTCTCTTGGGCTAGTTCTCTTTTTCCTGCCACCACCTGACACCCCTGCTCCCAGCCTATGAGGTTAGATCTCTTCATCTAATCTAACTGAAGAAGCAATGGATCCTTATATGTGCACCCACATACATACATATGTGTTTACCTATATAAACGCACACATTAGCAACAAGGAGAAAATAATGTTTTTAATGTATGAAAGGATTTTTACAAATAATGCTAAAAGTCATCTAAAATGATGAAATCTAAGTCTACCATGATTTCTCTGAATGGAAAAGATAATAATGTGACAAATAATTACTAGAAAAAGAACCAAACATTCTACGCACTTTTCAGGATTGTAAACGCTCATCTCCTCCAGGAAAAGGCTGTCATTTAGGAAACCACTGTTTCCTGTCCTGGCCAAGAATTTCAAGATGATTCCCTTCTCGGATCCCAGGAAAACCACAGTGTGGTTCTGATATGGGCCAGCAGCGGTGTCCACCGCAATTTTGGTCAGGCGGTATCTAAAATGACAGGATCACATTTTTTATATCTTTGTTGGTCTTTCATTAATGTGTCCCCCTTTTCCACTTCAAACAATTGTGATCGAGCTTTCTAGTAAGAACCTCAAGAAAAATATATGCATATAAATAATGCTCTCAAGCTGTTCTGCTCCTTTATTTCCACATGTAGAGCATTACTATGGCTCCAAGGGGAGGAAAGAGGTATGTATGTGCAGAAGCCAAGTTACATAATAAATACATAGCCATACCATCTGAAACCATTCAGCAATTATCACTTCCATGAGCAACAAGGAGAGACTGATGTCTTCTATGAAGAGGGGAAGAAATAAAGTGAACTCATTTAATATTTCACACTAACCACTAACGTTTCACAGAATACTGAAAAGAAAAGCCCTGGCTACCATTTTTCCACACTCTTCCTCTGAGGTGCCAAGACTTGTCAATAAAACGTCTGCATTGTAGACAGATTCTTTACTGTCTGAGCTGTCAGGGAGGCCTGTGTGACAGCTAACAATTCAGAGACAGTGCTCAGATGGAATCTGCAGCATGTTTTGCAACCACAACAAACAAACAGGTGTGTACATCCATTGACTGATTGTCTTCACACTCCTCTACTTGAACACACGTGGAATTAACCAGCTAAGGCAAAGGAGACATCTTTGTTTCCTCTAATTGCTGGCCTGGGTCCAGTTACCCTGAAACTCTCTGAACTGTGGTTTCACTGGGAATGTGGTTATGGGGGTTTGGTGGCATCCACCCAACTGCCCAGGACTTCAGAACTGAACCCAGGCCTGGATGACAGAAGGGGTTTGTGGCACTTCAAATCATGATCCACCGATGACCGGTCCAATGATCATGGGCAGCAACAGGGGAAATCCAGTAAGGATGCAGTTTGCCTAACACTCACCTGACCATCGTCCTCAGGAACCACGGCCTGTTGATGATGGACGGCACGGCCTCATCCATAAGCGGGTGCGTTTTGATGAAATTCAAGGTGTCGTCAGGAAATTCATTGGAGGTGGTGTATTTTTCTAAGGAGGAGGAGCCGGCGCAGCAGCCTGGCCTACAAAGAAACAAGGGAGCTTCTATCACACTTTATGGCAAATTCTTTGAATGAGCTGCTTCTCTGTGCAACTCACATGAGGGAGAATAGACTTGAGGCTGAGAATAGGAAGCTGAACAATGTATAATGCCACCAAAAAATATGCTTAGATTGCCTTGGGCTGCCTCCGCGCTCCATAGAGAAGCCTGAGCCAGGACGGTTCAGCCTTGGCTGAGAGCAGCCGTGTTTCCCCGCCAGAAACACAAACAAACCCCATAAACAGTGATGGAGCTCGAAACAGATGAGAGTTTCGAAACAAGTGAGACATTTGCACGTCTCTGGGACTGCTCTGCCTGTCCTAAAACCCTGCTAGGAGTTCTGGAGGTATTTGTTCCACAGAAGGAGACAAGTGGGCTGACTTTTTCACAAATGTAGAAAACAAAGGTGTTCAAAAAGTCGCTGGCCTTATATAACCTGCTTTGTGGTTTAGTTGCTAAGCCGTGTCCGTCTCTTTTGCGACCCCACGGACTGTAGCCCAGCAGGCTCCTCTGTCCATGGGATTTCTCAGACAAGAATCCTGGAGTGAGTTGCCATTTCCTTCTCCAGGGGATCTTCCCAACGCAGGGACTGAACCTGCATCTCCTGCTTGGCAGGCAGATTCTTTACCACTGAACCTACCTGCTAGACTCAGTATAACCCTCTCTCATTACCAGGAGGTCAGGGAACCTTTTGTTTTTTATTGCTTTCATTTGATTTGGGTAGGCGTGAAAAGCCAATTACACTGAAATTCTCGTCTGAAAAGTCATTTTAAAACACGCTGAACAATGACACTGAAGATTGGTTTCTAAAAGAAATGACATGGTTTCAAGAGTCAAGGTACGCCTCAGCGAAGTCAGATTAGGGAGATACTAGCGCCAGGCTTGTCCAGACTCCTGGCCTCCCCTCTGGTGCAGGAGAGAAAAGTGGGCCTTGCTGGCCTTGGCGGGTTTTGGCCTTGGGCCCTTGTTTTCTTGGCCTAACCCAGCCAGTCAGGGAAAGCATCCTGCTGTTTATAAGAGAGACAGGCCAGCACGTGGAACGATGACCAGTGGAAAGTCACTTAAAGTATGCATCCTGCTTGCCTGGAAGGTAGTCAACACTCCTTCAGAGAATCCACCTTACTTAGAGACTTTGACAATTCACCTGAGGTTGCCAGGGTGTATTTTTTACAATTAGCCTGTTCTCCTTTAGTAACAGAGAAGGCACATGCCAGATGATCCAGGGGATGAAAAAGGATGGATCATAGGGGTTTCTGCCCTGGGTACAGTGATTCATATTATCTAAGGTAGTTCAATTCAGCGAATTGGGTTAGGTATTTTTTGGGGGATGGAATTGGATGTTGGAGCAAAGAGTTGGAAACCAAAAAGGTTTAAAAGACATTGGGTTTCCTTCCACAGATTCAGCGGAGGGAGCTAACATACAGGGACATTTCTGTATTTTCATAATGTAGGTTTCAAATGCTGTAGGCGTCAGACACGACTGAGTGACTGAACAACAAGGTAGGTATGCTGCGTGTGGACCATAAAGAGGTCCACAGGGCCGGGAGAGGGTTTCATCCTGTCCCAGTTAGAGAAATGCATGAACTGGTTTCTTGTTCAGTCACTCAGTTGTGTCCAACTCTTTGCGACCCCATGGACTGCAGCATGCCAGGCTTCTTTATCCTTCACCATCTCCTGGAGTTTGCTCAAACTCACATCTGTTGAGTCAGTGATGCCATCCCACCATCCCATCCTCTGTTGCCCCCTTCTCCTCCTGCTCTCAATCTTTCCCAGCATCATGGTCGTTTCCAATGAGTTGGCTGTTCGTATCAGGTGGACAAAGTATTGGACTGGTTTAGTGTGCAGATCTGATGGAAATTACACAGGACCCAAAGTCTCTAGATTGTCTCTGGACAATAGGTTCCCTGTGAAAGCACTTTTGGGGCATGTTTTGAGGATGAGGGAATCTATGATACATCCGGACCCCAAACAGACTAGAACCCTCAGACCAGAGACATCCTAATAATGGCGCACTGCACCTGCTGGTCCCTACCTGCCCTTAGCCCGGGATTAGCTCTGATCCAGTCTAGTCACAGAATCCAGCGAACATCGTTAATATTTTACATTTTATTAAGGCTGAAAGACATGGGTCTCTGTGAAACTGAAGGGAAGCAGGGAGAAGTGGTGGAAGTCATCTCCCCAGCAGCTTGCACAATACACTCTGTACCTCTCCGGGCCTCAGTTTCCTCAGCTATAGACCACTGGGGCTGCTGGGGTGGATGGCTCCTGTCATCCAAGGATTACAGTGGATAATCTACAGATATAGAGTCTAAGTGAAAGACTAGAGAGTCACTGTTTTGAATATAACTTGGGTAATTTGGGGATTGGTTAAGGGAATGAAGGTAAATGGCTTATAGGCCTTTCTGTTGTGTTGGCATTTGTATCTGCCACCACGGAAGGCCCTGGTGTGCAGTTGATAAGATGCTCACTGTGTGTGTGCTAAGTTGCTTCAGTCGTGTCTAACTCTTTGTGGCCCTGTGGACTGCAGCCCTCCAGGCTCCTTTGTCCATGGGACTCTCCAGACAAGGATACTGGAGTGGGTTGCCATGCTCCTCCAGGCATACTCCTCCAGGGTATCTTCCAGTCCCAGGGATCGAACCCATGCCTTTTACGTCTCCTGCATTGGCGGGTGGGTTCTTTACCACTAGTGCCAACTGGGAAGCCCAAGATACTCATTATCATGGGAGCTAACTGCACCACTTCTGGAAATTTAAAAGAGCCTGATAAACATGGGCACATACCTGGGCTTAGGCACGCGTTCATCAGGAACTGGTGTCCATGTGGAATCTGGAGACTTCTGTTCTTTGAATCTCCCAGTAAAGACATTGGCGATGTCATGCATGTCATAGGCACACACTGCAGACCCAGGGATGCTGCGATGGGGCATTTCATACAAAGTGTTACTTATGCAACAGTTCTGCATGTCATTTGGAAAACATACACCAAAGAAGCTTCCCTAGTACTGGCAGTTGAAATTTAATGTTCATACCCTGAACACTATAAATGTAAAAGGATCCTAGTGCATAAGGAGAATGTTTCAGTGAATCAAATTTGCCTTACTGGTCTTAAAGAAAGGGCTAGTTAAAGCAAAATCATAGGGAAAAACCCCCTTTTTTTGGTCTTGTGTCTGGCACTGCTTTTGTTTATAAAGGAGGAATGGTTGACCTGATGATTTTCAAGTTTCGTGAATTTCCTGAAATTAATTACCAGTCTTTAAACCAAAGATAAAATGTTTGGGCAACATTCTGCATCTCTGATATTGGTAAAAGTTTGAAGTAAAAGTGCCCCTGCTGTCCACATATTCCTTCTTCGAATTTGGCTTCTCAAGTCAAGGACATCAGTAGTGAGAATGTATGTGTGAGGAACACAAACATATTTTATGCTAGTCACTGAACACTGCAAATTCTACTTCCTGTTTATTTGCATAAGACTAAACAGTTTAAATCTCTAAAGCACCAATGCTTTGCAAATAAAATGCTCGATTAAGTGCTAAATAATAATAACATCAGTAATCTCTACCTGTAATTATATTCTTGCCTGGCACTCCTGGAAGGACTTTGGGGTTGTTTCTCATCAATGGTGAGAAGACATGAATTATTCATTCATCTAGGCACATTACTTGAACCTGTGTTTGTTTCTATGGTTGTTCCTTGATTTTGATCAAATAAATTTCAGGTACTGGCTGTCCAACATTTTGAATCAGGCTTTGAGATAGTGGGTCACTGCACACAGAAGCACCCAGGGCAAGACAGGTGCTCGGCAGCATCAGCAGCATACAGGGCAGGGAGAATGACTTGGCCTGGATTTTGCACATGTCGAAAGGATATGGAAAACACTCCGTGTGTGTATGCATTAGGAGAATTTTATGCCATCTTTAATTTCATAAAATAATTATTGAAGTATTACAAAGAAAGTGAGAAATGGGGGAGGATTATAAAGCTTATTTAAAACAGAGTGGCAGGATAAATTTTAAAGTATGTAGCGTGTGTGTGTGTGTGTGTATTATTCACAATAGTAAGTCTATAATAAGACAGTGATCTTCATTTGTTTTGAAACTTCAGCGCTCCTAACATTATTTAATTTTGTAAGACTCTTTCCACATCTCGCTCTCCTAAAAGTAAGAGATATACACATTTACTTTAAATATTAAGAAAAAAAGGATAAATTTTGAAGTATTTTATGAGGCACTTCATAATTGCTAAAGATACCCTAGGGTTTATACTCTTCCTAATGTTAGAATCATGTGTAAAATCCTTTCTTTTTTCTTCCCTACTTTATCCCCTCCCTTTATTCCCATCTTCTGTTCATTCAGCACATATTTATGGAATCCCCTATCTCAAGCCGTAAATGTTCAGTAAATAACAAACCGTGCTCTCAGCTGATTCACAGTGCAGTGTGGTGGCAAGCAACAAGAGCAGTGATAATAATAATAACAGCAACAACTTTCCAAGACCATCTGGTAAAGGCAGTATATATGAAAGGCATGTGCAGAGTTCCAGGGGATGTGATTGGAACTGACCTTGGAGCATGCCCAGGGGTTCAGTGGGCAAGCAGATAGGTTGGGGGAGCAGACTTGGCAAGATAGCAGGGTGTGAGTAGTTAGGTCAACCCTCTGCACTGGAGGGGGAGCCGACACCTGACCATGATGGGCTTCCATGCCATGCCAACAAGGGAGCTGGGCTTTATCTTCAGGGCAAGAGGAGCCCCTAAAGGGTTTGAGACAACCTGACGTGATGGAGTGGGAATGTGTGGAGAATGGGGTGGAAAGGGATGAAACCAGAGGGAGGAGTCAGAGAGGGGCTATTGTTTATAGATGAAGACTGGTCTGCATACTTTTGCCATTTTCTGATCTTACTGACCAAATATGGTTTCTGAGACTGCATTAGCATGCACTCATTGAATGTCTCCTAGGGACCTTTAAAGAAAATTCTTTAAATGGAGTATGTGTAATATTTAGGAATCTACTACTTTGTTGTAATCATAAAGTAACTCATTTTCTCAAAAGACGTTAAAAAAAATTAGAAATGTGCTCTGAAATTCCACTGGCACTTACATTCCTATGTTCCAGAATAATCTTCTTTTTCAACACTTCTAGATACATGGGTTGCAAAGTACAAGCAGTTAAGGTCTGAATTTTTACATCTTTTCTATTCTGAAGTCTAAAAATTCCTTCAGATGGCCACATCTTACTTAAATGTAACTAAATACTTCTTGCTGCAATATAGGTTTATGTTTCCGTATATCTTCAATGGGGGACTCTTGACTCTTGCCCTCTGTATAATTGAGGAATGCTATTTCATCCTTCAGCCTGCTCTGATGTGGGCTTTACCCAGTTCTTAGGCATTTTTTCCTAGCTGCTGTCCTCCAGTCTCATCATGTATGTTCCTGTCATCTAGCCATTCATCAGGTTCTTCAAAATCTTTGTAAAAAGTATAATCCAAAACAAGACAGTGTATTCCTGGCAGAAGCTCAGAGAGAACAGAGAGAATTGTACATAGTCTAGAGTAGGTACTTCAATTGCTTGGCTGCGGCCAGAGTGCGGATCATTTCCACAGGAGACTCTGAGGTCTGGGAGAGCCGAGTTCCAGGGAACATGGTGTCCCTCTTCCTCTATTTTTGAGTCTCCACACGTGTCCACTGCTCCAGGGACAGTTATTAGTGTCATTTCATAGCTCAGTGTCTTAGCTTAAATAAACACAAAAATAGGAATGAATGGGCTGAGACTCAGTACAATGTTTGATGACTTGGAAATCCTCAGTGGTGGTGATGGTGTTGCTCAGTCACGTCCAACTCTTGTGACCCCGTGGACGGTAGGTCACTAGACTCGTCTGTCCGTGGGATTTCCCAGGCAAGCATACTGGAGTGGGTTGCCATTTCTTTCTCCAAGGGATCTTCCAGGCCCAAGGATCAAACCTGCATCACTTGCATTGCAGGTGGATTCTTTAGTACTGAACTACCAGGGAAACCTAAATCCTCAATAGAACCCTCCAGAATCAGACAGTGGTGCTGTGGTTGGGATTCTAGTTCCTCTGACAGGATGATAAGCAGGTGGGATGCCAGATGGACTCATCTACTTCCTAAATTTCACTCTGTAGCATTTTAATACATGTCCAGTATTTTTACTTCAAAAATTACTGATCTAGTCATGGAAATATTAAAAGTCAAATAAAATGTTAGGTGACCTAGAAAAGAGGAACATTCTTGAGTGCCAGAGCTGCTGCTTCTATCTGTGGACTACCTGGACCAGAGAGTGTAATTAAACTCGGTTTCCTCAAGTGTAAAAAGAAGGCAACGGTATTCACTTTTCAAGATAATTAGAAGGGTTGAGAAATAACACATGAATAGTGTTTCTGTCCCAGACATCTGAAAAGAAGATATTGGTATAATTTATCTCATCACTTTCTCCAAAATTCTACTCTAACAACACTTATACCGATTATCCATTTGTGAATGAAGACTGAGAGTTAAGTGCTTGTTAGTTACAAATAGTGAATGGCAGTGTTTCCATCAGTTGCAAATCTTGTGTATTAGACAAGAACCTCTTGGGAAAAGGAAGCCGGGAAGGACTGATGAAGTCCGCACCGCCAAGGCATGGTTACCTGTTATAAGGTGTGGAGAAGGTTGCCAGGACAACATCACGGCCATGAATACGAATCACGTCGGTAACTGCCTGCAGGATGTTGAAATAAAAATGGGAGTCCCCGGGAACGGAGCAATTGAGGCGAGCCTTCAGGAAAGAAGTCCACTGCTTCTCCAGGACTCTCTGAGACCCTCCCATGTCATTCTTACAAACCTGAGCCACCCTTGGGAAAACTACCTGCAGAGGGAAAAGGCGGAGAAGAGGAAATGCACTTATTTTGCATGGAGATCTTGGTAGAATTTACCTTTCTTAGAAAAATAGAAACAGAACAACAAGATGCTTAATTTAATCCTGTGTTTCTAAAATCAGTGGCAAAAAAAAAAAAAGGGAAAAACTCAGCATTGGAACAGAATGTTTGGAAAGATAAGGCTGTGGCATTTAATACAGAACCATAAACCCTTCAGGGGATCAGCTCCCAGGCACATACACTCATTTCCATACAGACTGCTTAGCTTTTTATTTCCTCAAACAAAAGCACACTTTGTATGCGCCATCTCTGCCATCCTCCCTGGCTGCCTCTGGGCCCTGCCTCTCATGCCCTGAATTCTTCTAACTGTGCATGCCACCCTGGTATAGAATTTGTGCCCTCCAACTCAGTGGTCTTGATCCGCTCTCTGGTAGAAATAATCGAAATAGACATCCCTTAAGTCTTCTATTGCTTTTTGCAATGAATACAGTCAAGACCCTGGGTTTGCTTATAGGTATTGAATAGTTACTTTCTCTCTGTAGAGCAGCTCAATTTGAAACAAAACAAAACAAAAAAAACTTGATGAGTAGACCTGGAAACCACATCTTTCTTAAAATACTTGAAACTCATCTGTTTGTTAAGTTTTCAATGTATTTAAGAGGTTTTCTCTGTATTCTGTTAACAATCAGAAAATGCATATAGGGGTTCCAGGAAGCAAAATGTTTCACTTCCACCAGTCTTTGTTGGATCTTCTCAAAATGATGACCTTGTCCTTAGATTTATGGTTTCATTTCCAAGCCATTCATAACCATATTGACCCCATATTAAGACATCCTCCCCTCTTACCTTTCCCATGCTGTTGTACTCCACCGCTATTTCCCTAAAGAAGAAGTAGATGTAGTCTCCATAATCTACCGCTTGGACAAAATACGGTTCTGTGGACAAATGGGCACTTTAATTGGGGGCGTGTCACACAGAGTTAAAAGAACTGCAATCAGTTGCAAGCAAAGACATGTTATGAAATAAAATTGTAGGGCCATTAGACATTTGGTTAACACTAACCATTTCTAGTGACTTTACACATGCAAGTGCTTAGTGATTTCCAAAAGCATTTAAGCCTACAGATTTAATCTTTCAGAAGCAGTTGCAATGAACAATGAAGAATAAATGAGTTTTGCATATCTCTGTAATTTTATTTTCTACAATACAAGGCTCATATTACAGAACAGATTTTGTACACATTGCCTTGTCAACCTTGACTCATTCGGGTTGTGAACAGCTTTTTTCCTGTTCCCCACCACCTCTAATTCCCCGTTCCCTTCCATGAATGAAGTGTTTTGTTTAGTTGTTTTCATGTGGGACTTTGGAATGAGAGCTTGAAGCAGGAAAGATGAATGTAATGTATTCTATTATGGTGGTGTTGGTAGTTTTGATAATACTCCAGAAACTCATGGGAAGTGAACAGGGGAGGTAATAAATCAACTTGGGGCAAGAGATGCAATTTCCACCTTCCTGTCTGTGAGAAGCCATTACTAAAATGAAACTACAATCTGGACCATTCAGACGCTAAATCTCCTTCAAGATATATATCTCCCCCGCCACACCTCCTTTCTTTTTTTAATTGTGCGTTCACCTTTTAACCATTTTGAATCATGCTTGACGGTCCGTAGGGTTGGGCTATCTCCAAGACTCCGGTAGATGACTGCATCAATGGCAAGGAAGTCTGTCACTGTAGCAGAGTATAGTTTTCCATCTTTGAACAGAAAGATGAGAGGAGAATATGGTTAGAGCAAGATGGTGGGCATGGGGGAATAATAGAGACATCCCCCACCTGGCTTTCCTATGTCAGGCAAATAAGATAGGACAACTGGGGCAAATCCAAGAGTCGCTAGGAAAATACTTGGCCCACATTCCTAACCATTTTAAATTGGGATCACGAGAGATGAAACATTTTTCATTTTTAAATTGCATGGCAATTTCTAAGCAGCAGCAGTTCAGGGAACAGGGTAAATGAAAAATGTTGTTTGCTTCACTCCATGAGATGGACCTCGACTGAAATCTCAAGGCCAAGGCCCCTTGGACACTGCAGCCACCACCATGCCGTGGTACACTGGATGAGGTAGGAGCCCCGGGAAAGATAGAGGCTGGTTGTATCACCAGAAAAATTTAAGTGCAAGCAGAAGTGAGAAAGTCTGCAGCCTAAGCAAGTGAGGGAAGTTGAAGAAAGAGGATTTGTAAGCAAAAAAGAGCTGACTAAAATTGCTACATGTAATCATACTCCGATTAAAAAAAAGAAAAAAAAGAAGATTGGTATGTGTATTCTTTCTGAGTCTCTGCTCCTCTTTACCTCAATCAGAAGAGCCACCAAGTCCTACTGATCTAGCTTTCCATTTAAGAGATATTGTTTCAGTATTTCCAAAGTCTCAAACTGAGAACATTCTGATATACAAGAAGCCAAAATAAAGAAGGGGAAGGGATGCTGCTGAGTTCAAACTAGACTTTTCTTTAAGAATTCATGCTCTTTGGGACTTCTACTTGAGGATACATCCAAGGCAAAAGAGAGACAAGATGATTGAAAATGAATCCTTAAAATTTTTGGTTCTTTTGCTGGATTAGCAAGCATTCTTTACACAGATAATCAAATGGGCTGTTCTGGAATAGTAAAATCTGTGTAGATGAAATGGAAACAATAATTATAAAAAATAGCTTCCTTGGCTCAGCTTTTTAATGGGTTACCTATCTTCATTAATTGTGGTTTCCAGAGCCTCTTCAGAAGTGGCTTATATACATCACAGTTCTCTTGAAGCTCTAACCCTCGTGGGATAAGCATATGGTTCTGTTTTAAATAAACATACCTAAGCAAAGTCTTTGAGGTCTACTTTTGGTCTTAACTGATATTTGCTCAGTTTCAGGTAGAGCTGTCTTCATATCTACATTATTGGCAGTCATATATCTGTACGTGTTGACCTTCTGGGTTAGATTTTGGCTGCAGACAGCAAACCTTTCTACTGATACACATGCGTCTGCAAAAATCACAAGTTTTCTTATAGAATCATAGCTCCAGGTCATATGGATAGACCTGAGGAGGAGAGGACAGTGGGAGTTGTGTGTGTGTGTGTGTGTGGATACTGCTGTTGAACACTCCTTCATACTCTTTGTTTTACATTTTAAACTGGATATCTTGCCAGAACTTTTACTTGTAAAATAGAGTACTATTTTGTCACTCTTGGTAATATGACAACTATTCAGGGGCAACAAGTATCTTCTGTTTATAATGGTGGAAGTTTTAAGAGCTTTCAAGCATTGCAGTGAACATGGATTCAGATACACTTTGTGCAGCTACTAGATGGTTTCATGGGGCTTGCTCTTGGAAGCTTGGTGGCCTTAGAAAACACCTGCTCATCCTCCTCTTTCTGCCTTGGGCTGCTCCTTTTTCATTAGTAAATTTACATTCCCCACTGCAGTCCACAACCTCCATTACTCTATTACTAACGCAGGTTCCAAGTGTCAGGAAAGTGCTGCAGGAGAAGTTAGGCACTTAAGAATATAATTCTCAAGCACTCTTTCCAGCGGCGTTGCCCCTACCCATGCTTACAGACAGATTTACATGACTTTGTGTTTCTTACAAGGCTGCTTGCTAGGAATGCTCTACCTTTGGAGGAGAACCTGAGAAACCTTTCCTTCTTAACTTGGCACAAACTGCCTCTTCAATTTTTGACTGCAGATTTGGGTTCACAAATGATGACACTGAGGATGTGGTTCAAGGAGCTGATCTTTTTTCATAATCAAAGCCCTAAAGTTCCTCATCAAGCTAGGATGTGCCAGGTTTTAGCTGTGGTGATGGAAATTATAGCTAACTGCTTTATTACATTTCATAACAATCACTATTATACCAATACTTCTCCCTACACCCACCTCAATGAGCACAGCTGGCAATGAATTCCACAGAAATCCCCATCTGAAAGTCATGGCTTATTTGCTTTCATTCTATATCCTTTGCAATGGAAGGAAGGAGTAGCAATGGGGAGTGTTGGTCAACCTCTGATCATCAGCATCATCCCTTTGGCCACTACAGTTCTATCAGAGACAGGCAGGTAAGCTCATGAGGTCATGATATTTGAGAAGATGTGCTGGTAACCAAGAGAGTTTCCAGAAACTTCCTTTTGTCTCTTTCCTTCTCCCTTCTATATGTAGACAAGGGGATGCGTGTGCATGCTAAGTTGCTTCAGTCACGTCTGACGCTATGCAACCTTATGGATGGACTGTAGCCTGCCAGGCTCCTCTGTCCATGGGATTCTCCAAGCTAGAATACTGGAGTCAGTTGCCATGCCCTCCTCCAGGGGAATCTTCAAAACCCAGGGATCAAACCCACATCTCTTAAGTGTCCTGCATTGGCATGTGGGTTCTTTACCACTAGCGCCACCTGAGAAGCCCAGACAAAAGGATATGTAGCCCTAATTGAGACCCAACAGCCATCCTATGACTGTGAGAACAGCGTCTCCCTCAGAGAAAGAAAGAAAACTGAGCAGAGAAATGAAAAGGACCTGCGTCCCGGATGAGATGAATGAGCTGTTGAATCAAAGCCACCCCAAAGTCTACCCCACCTTAAATACTCAGTTCACACCGGGGGTTTGAGGTGGGATTTTCTATTACTTCAGCCCAGACATGCCCTCACCAGTATGCTGCATGTTCAGCACAAACTTGTTCCTCTTTCTGAAGGCAGAGAAGTATGGGTAAGCATGGCAAAGACTTGTCTTAAGAAGTGAGGAGAGAAAAAAAAGAAGCAAGGAGATCAAACCAGTTGATCCTAAAGGAATCCACCCTGAATATTCACTGGAAGGACTGATACTCAAGCTGAAGCTCCAATACTTTGGCCACCTGATGTGAAGAGCCGACTCATTGGAAATGAGCCTGATGCTGGGAAGGATTCAAGGCAGGAGGAGAAGGGGACGGCAGAGGACGAGATGGTTGGATGGCATCACTGACTCAATGGACATGAGTTTGAGCAAACTCCAGGAGACAGTGAAGGACAGGGAAGCCTGATGTGCTGCAGTCCATGGGGTCGCAAAGAGTCAGACATGACTGAGTGACTGAACAACAACCAAAAAAAAACCACAAAAGTACAATTTCCCTATGAATTTCAAATGGAAAAAGCATTCTTAGTTACAGTAGTCACCAGAGAATCAAAGGACAACTGTGACTCTGTGAATCCTCCAGAGCCACAGGCTGAGCCCATGAAAACAAATGCAATGAGGAGAAACCAGGAAATCAGGTCGTTTACCTGCAAACAGTGCGATATTGGCATGTTTGGCATCGTAAGGGCATCTGGCCATTCCGCTAAATTCATCACCCACAGGTTCCAAAGTATCCATCTAAATGAAATAATAGGACTAAATTAGGAACAACAACCAACAGTAATGACAGCAACTAATATTTACAAAGCACTTAATTTTTTGAGCAATTTATATGCCTGGTGCAAATAATGCTCAAATACCCTCTGAGGTTAAGTCTTTTGGTTTCAGATGGGGAAGCTGACGTTGAGAAAGTGGTCACTTGACCAAGATTCTGTAGCTAGGAGAGTCAGAAGAATCAGTCATGTTTGCTTGACTCAGAACCATGACAATAAAGAGATTCCCATATCCTCCTGGAATGCTAGAGAAATAAGCATCTTTTTCCTTGGAAAAGGGATTTCTGACGTATTCAGCAGGAAAACATATTCCCCCATCCTCCTCCATATCACACTAAACTACATTTCCCATCCTCCCTTGCAGTCAGGTGTGATCACATGACCGAGCTCTGGCCAATGAGGTGGGAGTATAAGGCTCTGCCCCCACCTCTAGGTCTTGCCCCAGACAACCTCCCCAGATCCTCCACTCTTGCTCTCTTTCCACATTCTTCCCTTCTCTTTTCATCTTCTTCACTGGATCCTACAGAGGATCCAGTGGAGGATTCCAAGATCCTAGGAGATCACAGGAGATGGCAGACATATAAGCAGGATGGAGCTGGCTTTCTAAATAACCTCTCAGAATAGAAACTCTCCGACTGACCCACACTTGACTGTGATGTGAGCAGGAAATGAACCTCTGTTGATCAGCCGACAGTGCTTGGCCCATCTAGACCAATAACTCAGGGGTTCCTCCCACCCTCCCTTCCTGACACTATGAGAGCTTCCTAGCATTTTAATCTCAGCATCACAGAGACCAAACAGTGATCTTCTCCACAGCACTAATGTTCTGACTCCTCCGTATTTCAGTCTTCTTTATGGTTTTAGGGTATTTTGTTTATCATCTGGAAGTGGCATAGTTTGACTCCAAATATGAAAACAGAAAGAAGACAAACCCAAGACAGCACTGAGGAAGGATCTGTGAAATGCCCTTTAGCACTAAAATCAAAGTGCCTGGGGTTGCTGCCCAGGAAGAAAGAGCAAGATCCTTACTGAGCAGCCGCTAGTATAGTCCAATCAATTGTGCCCTTTGCCCTCAACTCACAGAAACTTTTCAAGGACAGGACAGACCTTTTCTATGTGCAACCACTTTGGGATCTCCCCCATCAAAGCCATAATGCTTGTTTAAACTGTGACTGAGAATCACATAAAGCAGTTGTGTTAAAAACACATTTTTAGGAGAAAGATGTTCAAGTTAGACACCGTTTAAAGCAAATGTACTCTTCCCCAGCACATGTTTATGAAAGTCTTTTCCTAATATTTTAGCCCAACAAGAGCTTCCTGTTGAACTGCGACAGACTTTACAGCCATGACAAGTATTCAGAGTGATACCTGCTATACAGTGATGCAACAGAAATGCCGTTATCCCAAGCAGTTGCAGGCTGTGATTGTTTTCCATGGGGAAACAATAATATACAAGGGGGATTTATTTTTAAAATGTACCTACTTCTAAAAAAGCGGCCACAGCTATAGCTAGTCAGGGGCGGGAAGCAATGAGGAATTAATGTATTGGTTTGTGAACTTGGAAAGGTCCAGAGACAAGACAATGTCATGGTGAAATCCTCTTTCCCTGAAGTAAGAACTAATCCTTGTAGCAGTCATCAAATCTCAGACTTAACGATAGCCCCTGGGAAATTAAATCACTGTAGGGTAGAGATAATTATACTAAGAACCAGCCTGACTTGTGCAGAAGTTCAAGAGGTTTAGAAAACAGGAGGGAAAAGGTATGGAGTGTAGTTGTATATTTATAATGGACAGCCTTCAGAATTCTTTCCCAGATAATCTTATTTGGGGCTCTAATCTCTCTAATATATTCAGCTTACTTCTGTTATAAAACTTGTGGAAGTCAGGGCACGGTGCAGAAGCAGAGACCAAAATTTTGTCACCTTCCTGCTTCAAAGTAGTTTCACTTCATGCTTCTGAACTCTGTGATTTGGGTCTTTCAGTGGAAGACTGGCTATTGTTTTTGCTTTGACCCTTTGGTCCTGATCTGGTAATTAAAAAGCACTTATGAGATAGGCTGTCCATTTTCTCTGAAGCCAAATACATTATGTCCCATGTCCTAGGGAAATTTCCAGTCTGCCCGGAGAGTCTAAAAACACTTTTCTGAGCAATGCCAAGCGTTCTCACTGCCATTCTCCATGCTAGGTGTATCCTGTCTGTCGTTCCTGAGAGGCCCTGGGCTCCTGGAACATGTCTCAGTAGGTGTGGCTAGAACAAGGGGAAGGTGAAGGCACTTCTTAGAGGTGGAGCACCTTGGGGAATGGAACATGTGTGGGAAGAAGGAGCTGGATCCCTTGCAGGCTGGGTAACACAGTGCCAAGGAAACCTGTAATTTGTCATAGGAGATAGGTCTCCAGCTAGGGAATTCATTTGGATTTGTTCGAAGCATTCATCTTAATGAGTCCTAAACAATGACACACAGGGATGGAATATTAAGTGGCAGAATTAAAGTCAGAGCTTCAGTACACCGTTACTGGCTGAATGTTTGACTTGACGGGCTGCCTCTTACCACCTGAATTAGCTCCTGTCCTTATGTGAAATTTTAATATCTAGTGATAGTATTTTTTTTGCATTGTTTTTTAGTCGTTAAGTCATGTTCAACTCTGCAACCCCATGGACTGCAGCATGCTAGGCTTCCCTGTCTTTCACCATCTCCTGGAGTTTGCTAAGACTGCTTAGACCTCAAACTCATGTTCATTGAGTTGGTGATGCCATCCAACCATCTCATTCTCTGCTTTCCTGGTGGCTCCGATGGTAAAGAATCTGCCTGCAAAGCAGGAGACCTGGGTTCGATCCCTGGGTTGGGAAGATCGGCTGGAGAAGGGAATGGCTGCCTACTCCAGTATTCTTGCCTGGAGAATTCCATGAACAGAGGAGCCTGGTGGGCTAAAGTCCATGGAGTTGCAAAGAGTCAGACACAACTGAGTGACTAACACTTTCACATTTTTGGCATTAGTTTAAACATATAAAAATACCAAAAAAAACCCAAAAAACCCCACATTGAAAATATTTTGTATCTTGATTACTAAGTTAAAAAAAATTTATGTATTTATTGGCTCTGGTGGGTCCTAGTTGCTGCAAGTGGGCTTTCTCTGTTTACTAAGAGGCAGGGCGAGGGGGTAGTCTCTAGTTGCCGTGTGCACTTCTCACTGAAGTGGCTTCTCTTGTTGCAGCTCATGGGCTCAGTAGTTGTGGCACACGGGCGTAGCTGCTCCACAGCACGTGGGATCTTCTGCACCAGGAACTGAGCCCATGTCTCTTGTACTGCAAGGCAGATTCCTCACCACTGACCCCGGGAAGCCCCGTTACTGAATTGTTTTTGGTGCGCCCTCACATGTTGCACCTGATCGGAGTGCCTCCCTGCCTCACTCTAATGCTGGCATGCTGGTGCCCATTTCCAAACGTAAGTGGAAGGTGAGCATGAGGATAAAATAGATTCTCCCTCTGTCTGTGCTAAGGCAGTCTTTTAAAACTGTCCGACCCAGGCTGGTGAGCCCTCTGGTCCTGACATCAGCCCATCATTTCTTTTCTCGTCCTTCACAGCCCCTAAGGTTTTGCTTTATGCTGGTGAAACCCAAATCTAGACATCCCCGTGTCTCTCCCTAAATCAAGGGTGAGCCGTCCATCTTTTTGTTGGAGATCTCTATTCATGTCCTGTAGGCACTGCCATCCATGGGGCCAGGCGCACTCATTATATGCAAAATGGAACCCCATGTTCTCACCACCACTCCGCTCTTCCGTCCTCCCTGTCCAAATTGATGGCCGCCCCATCCACCCAAGCAGGAGACAGTCTCACAGTCGTTCTTAACTCCCCTCTCTCTTTATCCTGTGCTTCTTGTTAATTAGTAAATCCTCCTTTTTTTAAAAAATAGGAGGATAATTGCCTTGCAGTGCTGTGTTGATTTCTGCCGTGCAACAAAAACATAAATCCTCCTCGCTTCTGTCACTTCAGTATTTCCTGAGTCTCTTCTCTTCCCTTCATCCCTGGGGCCACCTACCTCTGCAGACTCTTGTTTATTGTCACTGTCACTTCACGGTCCAACACTTTGGAACCAAATGAAGTTTCTCCAGCTCAGCAGACTGTTTCTTGCTCTGTGCCTTTGTTCATGCTGTTCCCCTACGTAGAACGCCCCGCTCCCTTCATTTGGTTACTTCTTCTTTAAGACTGAGGTTAGGCATTATCTCATTTACTCTTTACCCCGCAAAAAATGAACTGAACACCTGTTTGGAGACACTATGTCAGGTACACATCTGGGCAATCACAGATGCTCGGGTTTCTCCTGGGCTGGGGTGCTCATGTTCCATATGTCCGGGCCACAGGAGGGAACACTCGAAGAGAGGGGTTGTCCACCTCCTTCTGGACGCTTTCCCTGACTCCTCGTCTCAGGCTGAAGTAAGCACTTCTCTGCGATGCTTGCGTCATGCTCTGTATTATGCCGCCATGGCAGCAAACCCATGGATTGAAGTTTTTTCTCCCTGTCTGACTTCCCTAAGAATGGACGCCTCCTATCGGCCTTTGCAGTGTCTACTCCTAGTCATGGGAGAAACTCAGTACGTATTTTCTGAACAAGAAAACTGAGGGAAGAGGGACAAGGAAAGGTAAAGATGTGGGGTCAAAACCTCAGGTCATTTTTACCTCTACTCCTCAGCGACACCATTATCAGATGAACTAACTTGATTTATTAATGCTGCAAGGGTTAATCTTTTTCTCCTTTGCATGAAGGCCAAGATAAGTCAGACCATGGTCACGTAAGCTGAGTTCTGAATGGAATTAAATTCCCGTGTTCTTGAAAATCTTACCTAGAGGAATGTCTATAGTTTCCAATGGCATGCTTTTGAGATCCCTTTTAAAATAGAACTCGTTCACAGTATAAGTGTGTTTTTGTGCTCAGAGAGGAGATGGTGGGGTGGGAGGGAAAAGGAGAAAGGGAGAGAGAGGAAACCCACATGGTCTGTGAGGTACGCAGGCTGACATTCTGAACAATAGAGAATAGGGTCTTAACAGAAACGTACTTTGCCGGGTCGGCTCTTTAAAGCCACGTCAATCAATCCTGAACAAACAGGAAGCTTAGAAGCCTGCTCAGGATCAGTCATGTGGAGCACTACATTAAGTGGAACAAGCTAGAGGAACCCAGGTGGTGTTGAATTAACCCTCTTAGGTGACTGCGGGCACAATCACAGTAAATTATGAAATACCTCCGGGCCATGTGGTTCCAGCAGACAAAACAACATTTACCTTATAGTTTCTGCAGGAAGGGTTGAAGGCATTAGTTCCACAGACGAACAAAGTATCATCATTTTTCTTCAGCAGAACTTTAATAAAGTTGTGACACTCATCCTGAAAAACAGTTCAAACTTTTGGGTGTCCAGTTTAGGGTAGAAACCCATTCAACCGTGGGCCATGATGTGCTGAGAGCAAGGTGAAAATGCAGGGGGCTGGGGAGTTCTCCTGTGAACAGTCCCGGCTCCTCCTTGTATTTTTTCCCCCAAGATGCTGCTGCTGACAGTAACAACTGCTTTTCAACAGTAAATAAGAACAGGAGGTGTGTGTTTGTGCCACCAAAGGAAGGCAAGCCAGGATGTAGCAGCATCCCATCACATTAATTTTAATGCCAGAGGCTCCAGAGTCCCCTGATACACAAGGTTCCCAGCTGAAGTGTGTTTTTATGTTGTTCTGTGATGGAAGGCACAGACCGCTTATGTCTGCGGCAGCCTTTCTGGGCTCTCCTGCAGACTCTGAGGGCTGTGGACCATGAGAGAAGTCCCAACAAGTGTGCTCAGAAGAGTCAGCACAAGCCAGTTTGGGGTCCAAAGTCCCTGGTGCCCCCTAAATAGTTCATGATGCAGCCCTAGCAGCTGTCACACTGTTTCATCACATTAAAAGCAAACTGTTGTTTGCAAATTAAAGCCTTCAATAAGTTGATGGAAGAAGCAATTACTGGGGGAAAAGGGACTAGCATGAGCCATTCTACATCACGGTCTGCGGCTGGAGATAACAGTCAAGAACTTAACCCAAAGTGGCAGCTGCAGAAGAAATGAAAATTGCCTACCTTATGTTTTCCCTTCATTCTGCATGTGTCTACATCAGCCTGTCTAGATTTCCATGTCAGTTTCTGCAGGGATCAAGAAAGAAATCAATTAGAGCCCAGAGGTTGTTGCATATGATTTTTGAAGTAAGAGTTCCCTGGGGGAGACTAGACGCTGAACATACATTTATTGAAAGCTTTCCACACCCTTTCTCCGAGATTAACTCACCATAACAACAAAAGATTAGAAATGGAAATGTTCATTTAATTTTGAACCCCTATCTATTCAAGACTGCAAAATGATCTGCTTCTCTTTGAGAAAAAGATGAAAGAGAAAGGAAAGAAGAATAAACAACAGTGTGGAAATTTCACATAAAATATCCACACTAACTTGCTAAATTATGCTCATTTTGATAAAATACATGTCCTTGCCCTTCCCTTTCACTTGATAAATCAGTTTCCATAAAGCAGGCCTTTTCCTTAAAATATGGAAGTCATTTTCTTAAACATAAAGGGGACATTCACTTTAGGTGGACAAAGATTTAATTCAGGTTACACTCCTTCACATAAATTCATGTGCTGAAGGGATCATCTACTTCTGGGGCAGACTTTATTAACTAAAATACCTCCATGTGGAGTTATAAGGAAGCATGGGTTATATTTTATATCTGTCTGAAATGGATAATGATCAAATTCCTGAACCACAACAGTCAAGTCAAACTTAATATTGCAAGATATGGAAACATAACAGTGAAACACTTGTGGGACAAAAGTTGATGTATGAAAACTGATCTTTTCCTGGAAAAACATCCAATATTTTATCCAAAGAATTTAGGAATTACCTAAAATTCCAATGTGTTTATGTGCATGTAACTGATGAATAAAATATGAAGTACATAACCATTTCATATTAAGCCCTAACTCATCACCAAATTAGAGTTTCATAAAATGTTCCCAATTATTCTAAGCCATGTCATTTCAATCAGTGCATTTAAAATACATACTCTCTCCAAGAACCATCCTAAGATCCTTCATTTCTGAAAGAACGTTTTAAAACTACTTACTTTGCTACAATAAATTTCTTCTGTGTGTGAGGTGTCTATATCAACAGTATAAATATGGTCCCTATAAACAAAGAAGAATTAAGACAATGTTAAACACGAGAGTCAAGGCAGTGCATTTTCTCCTGAATGAGTCCATGTCTCATTCAAGGCAGATAAATCCACATCCATGTTATTAAAAACAAGATCTGAGGGCAAGAATAAGGGGAAGGTTCAGCTTCTAAGAGATGCTTCAGGATCACATTCAGCACCTTCAGAGAAATCATGGCATCTTGCCAACTTTTATGAAAACTTTCCAGTAGCCTCTCACATCCCGTAACAATAACATCTGTATGTATGTCGGTAGTTTAGGTGGGAGATGTCTGCAAGTTAAATAGGCTTCCAAACTAGCATACAGATGGGTTCACATGCCCTTTCACTTGGTATTCAAGGTGCTGGAGTTGTTCATCAAGAGACCTAACAAAAAATTGATGTCTATCTCCATCACTTTTTCGAAAACATCTTTTCAGCTTTAGCTTTGATGATTTGATTGACAAGATGGAAGACGATAAAGGTAAAATTATTTCCAGAAGCCACTCTTTTTCACACAGGGATGGTCAATTAAGGTTCAGATGTACTTGAGCTAAAGTTTACATTTCTTGCTTCTGTTCACCTTCCTGTTTTGCTGAGAACTTGGTTGTCTTTATGATTTGCTGCCAATCTCCCCTTGGAAGGGGAGAAACAGAATGAGCAGCTCAGGTGTGGGGCTATATTTAAACATCCCCTTCTGTGTGAGCTGAGCACAAGGGCGTTTTTGTCTGGAATTCAGAAGAAAGAAAAGAAAAGCGCTACATTCAACTGAGGAGATGGGGGGCTAGTGAGGGAAAGCAAAACAGCTCGTTTTCCCTTGAAATAACATTGACTTTTTCTAAAATGCAGGAAGTCCTGGGGCTGGAAAATTACCCACAGCTTTAAAGCAAGACCTCAAGGCTCCCATGCAGACTTTCAGGGCCCCTCATTACTTGAAAGAAAGGGAAAGGGGAGAAGGGAAGAAAGAAAAAAGAAAGGAATTATCTACTGTCAGGATTCACTTCCATTTTTTCCCCCAGTTCTTTGGAAATCTGTTTGCTACTACTTTTAGGGAAAGAACAACTGAGAAAAACAGAAATAAAAACAGGTTTTCTTTTATGAAAATAAAAGGAGGGGGTAAGGCAGTTGGCCTATAAAATTCCCTTGCCCTTGTGAGTGTGTGTGAGTGTGTAAGAGTGGTGAGGGGGAGAGAGAGGAGCCTGTTTTGTAAATTGCTGAATTGGAAAGTTCTTCAGACTCCAGTAGGGTGCCAGAACGGCTCTGCCCTTTAATTCTGAGGCAGTTTTATGGCATTCCTTTATTGCTTGTTTGACTTTATTGGTGGTGCTGTGGGTCAGGTTCATTATTGGAGTGGAATTGCCTATTACTTTGGTATCAGCTTTGAGATAACTTGAGATTTTTTTTCCTGGCCCTGCCTCTCCTCAAAACTTTTAAGTAGGAGCTGAACGTATGAACTGTGAATTAACATCTGATTAATATGCACTGGCAATTCCTCTGAAAGCTCTTGATTGCCACCCCCACCCACCCCTTTGGCATGGCCTGTTTATGTTAATTAGCAGTTCAGAGATTAAGCAACAAAAAAAGAATTTACAAAATGGATAATAATAAAGCAGAACTGAAAAGGGGCATTGCTCATCAAGCTTCCCTCAGTCCCTGGGTTCTGGCTGGGGACATGGCTTCTGATAGCTGACACCCATTGTCTAGAAGAACTGGGGAGCCTTTTAAAAATCAAAATTCTATGAATGAAATCTCCTTTGGACAGTGGCAATATTTTTCAGTCTCGAAGAGATCACATTGCCCAGCACACAGAACGATGCTTTATGCTAAACCACAGATCAAGGGTCAGGGGTTTTTCCCCAGCACCGTGTGTGCATCCCAGGTTCATTCGCTGCTCTTACTGAATTCAGTTACTTAAACACAAACTGACTTAATCCTAGGACTTCCTCTTCCCCTCTCCAGTGAGCATCATTGAACTATGTTGGCATGACTTGAGTCTGGGGAAGAATTTCACTTTAAATCATGTTAATGGCTGCCTAGGAACGTGGATCTCTTGGGGCTCTGTTGGGAAATGTGAAATTAAAGAGAGAGGAGAGACCCTAAATATGCAAACCACAGAAATCATTTAGGAATTTTTCCAGGGGTGTGTATTCCAGGGAAGTGACTGCACAAAGTGAAAACCAACATGTCAGAACTAGGCTGTTACAGATTTGACCTTTAACCAAGGGCAAGATTTGACCTTTAACCAAAGATGAGTCTGTCTTATAGAGTCACAAAAGTGAATGTGTTTCTCCTTTTTTCCTTCTTTCCTTTCTCCTTTTCTTGGGGTCAGGAGTTAGGATGAAACAGTCTTGGTTTTAACAAGGTGTAATATTGGTCACTTTGAAGTCTGCACAGCACCTTATTCCTAACTCTGGTGACCCCTGGACTGTTTCACACCCAAGTTAAAGTCATCAGGTAGTGGGTTATGTTTCTTTCCCCCCTAAAGACTGGGTTGCAAAGTGAACAATTCATAGAAGATTCTTGAGTCAGCCTATTTCTCACAGATACAATGTTTTTTCATTTGTTTTGACCAGCCTTTAGCTAACTGGGTACAAATGTAATCTTCCACCCCTGTTACATTTAGGAAACTGGAAATGGTCTTTAAGAGGGAGCTAATATTCTCCAGAGAGGTGGCTACTGGGGACTCATTGGAGTGTTTTTAATGAATACCCACAGTGGCTATTGTTCTTGGAGAACAGCTATTAGAAGGTTATCACCAGGACAAGTAGGCCTTCTATGGCTCAGCAGACTGCAGAGCAGAGAGAGGTGACCCAGACTCTAGAGCAAGCCTGTTCCAGTTCAAGTCCTGCCCATGTCGCTCTGACCCAGTCATTCCACCTTTGTGCACCTTGGTTTCCTCTCGGAAGACATGGGGATGATAACAGCTCTAACTCAAAGGGCTTTTTTTTTTTTTTTGCCCCAGGATTGAATGAATTAACATTTATAAAGAACTTACAACTATATTTGCAAATTTATATAGCACATACAACAAGTATGTACTAAGTGTTTATGAAGTAGAATTTTTAGAAAGTGCTTTGGCATTGCTCCCTGTGACCAAAATCTAGGGTACTCATAGGATATTTTAATCTAGCCAGTGGTTTTTTTTTTTTTTTTTTTAAACTTTACATTGTATAGCTTGTATTTTCAGAACATCTAAGTGCTTTGAAGGAAGCCAGCACTGTTGTTATTTACTTGTTCTTTACTTGTGCTCACAGCCAGACAGGTACTACAAACATAACCTCTATTTCTCCTTCCCAGTGTAAAACGATTCATCAGTCTAGACCCAGGTTATACCACAGTGGACCCCACAAGATACTGCTCCTTGTTGCTGTTTATTTAGAAATATTTTGAATAAGTCACAACCCCTGTCCCCAGTGGGGAATCATGTATTTTTAGAATCCCAAGGGACACCATTAAGATAATCTATTCTAGTCTCTTATTTAACAAAGGACACTGAACAGCCAGAGAATTTATGGTCCAGGTAAGTTAAGAGTAGAGTTGAAACAAAACCTAAATCCATATGATCCCTGTCTGGGTAGTATTCTTGCCAGGCCATTCATCCTTAAGGCATGGTCTGTTTGAATAACATTTCCCCAGTGGATGAGTATTTTCTGAACTAGATCCACCTCAAAAACTTCTACTGGGTGGTTGCTGCCATTCTGTTAAAGTAATATATACTATATATTATCTGCAAAAATACAGGTTTAACATACACCCACCCACACACCCATTCAACTTAATTTGATACATGTTGACACATTCAACTTAATTTAGCAAGTATCAAGGACAGAACACTTTACCCTATGCTTGGGTAAATATCTGTGTATACTGTATGTGTGTATATACACATATACACAATGTTCAAGATAAACAGTGGATTATTTGAGTTTAAACTCCAAAATATGCAATTATTTCTATCCAAATCCACATCATCAAGTTACAAGGACACAGAAAATCTTGAAAGAATGGTTGCTTGACAAATGAAAGTAGCCTTTAAATGAAGCAACGCCCTCTTTGGGAATGTCAGGATCTTTACTGTGAGGCAGAGTGTGAACATTTAGGTATTAGGACCGTTGGATGCTCCAAAGGCAAACACAGGGAAAAGGGGGCTCACCTGGCAGCAATGTACAGGGTTCTGTTCATGATCACAATCATTTGGATGTCCAGCCTGTGCCTCTGCGTGGTGTTCCGTCCTGGCTTGTGGCCCACAAACACCGGATACTGTTTTGTATCTGTGAAAAGAGGACATGGGGCAAGAGAGGGAAGAGGAAATCAGGCCAAGAATTGACAGGGCCGGGGCGGCGGGGGGAGGGGGTGGCCACAGAACAAAACCATATTGAAGTTCAACCATGCCACCATTTTCCACCCAGGTCTGTTATTTTAGGAAATGTTGTGATAGAAAAGTGCTCTTTAAGGATAATCGAGTTACAGTTTCATTTCCTGATGCTAATGAGCCTGGGCTTAGATTTCTGAGTGTCACTCTCTCTGACTTGTCCCTTTTTCTTGGGGGGGGTTAAACTTGTCAGTGAACCCTTTGCATGAAGGTGCTCTTTTCTTCCCCAGTTTTCTTTTCATCTTCTTTAGAGTGCTAAGCCCGAGGGGCAGTCTGCCAAAGATCTTGTCTCCGGACAAAACTATTTCAAAGCAGCCTTCCCATCAATCACCACAAAGGCAATGTGGTCTGGAGGCAAGAGCCTTCGTCCAGGGGCCAGAAGGAAAATGCAGTCTCCACAGGCGTCCAGCTGGAATAATCCACTATTGAAGGCAGCTCCACTAGGTCGGCTGGCATTCTAGGAACTGTGGGAAGTTCGCTCGAGTTAAGCAATTGGCTGATCTCACAGAAATGGGGGCTTTGACAGGACAGGGTCATACTGAGTATAGCCAGTCGGGTGATCTGGAATTTTCCCTGACCTGGAGAGTCAGTGAGCCTATTTCCCCTTTTTTGCAGTTCTCCTCAGTGGAGAATAGGCAATTTGTAATAATACCTGAGCTTTGGAAATACCTACAGCTCAAAAATCTCTCTGCCTTTAAACCTATGATCTCCAGAGCACTGGCAGTCCTTCAGAGAAACTAAGGGGGGAAAAAAGATGAGTCACANGGGGGGGGGGGGGGGGGTGAGAGGAATATAAATAATGACTCAAAATCCATTCATAGATTAATGCTCTGACCCATACACCTTAAATCCCTGTAGCCTCTGAGTGTGACTCACTCTTGTTGGAGAGCATCAGTATATCTTACAACCATGCTTGGTATGGGATTATCTTGTACTTTCCCTTCCACTGCTCTGAAATTTTATCCACCCATTCAGCAAGGAAGTTGCTAAAACAATTAATTCCTGTCTCTGTCCTGTCAAAGATTTGAGTGTCCACTGAAGTAGGTTTTCAGTAGCATATTTGGGGTCTCTTTCTTATTTATTTATTCATTTTTTTTCCTGGGGTCTTTTCTGCACAGGGGCACCGAAGATAGACTACTTATCTCAAATGGAGATAAATGCTTATTAAGGTTTAGTACTTTGAGTTAGGTGGAGGAAGGAAATGGCAAGCCACTCCAGTGTTCTTGCCTGGAGAATCTCCATAGACAGAGGAGCCTGGTGGGCTACAGCCCATGGGGTCACAAAAGAGTTGGACACGACTGAGGCGACTTGGCATGCATGCATGCCACTTCAAGAATGATGATTTCAAACTACACAGTTTGGTCCTTAGTCATAGCCTAACTTTTGTTCTTAATTAGAGGTGTAAAGCCTTGCCATCTCACCTTCATATAAAATTACTTCTTTTTACAACCTAGACTGTCTAGCAGAAAGCTGGGTGGGCAGCGTTAGTATCCTAATATTACTGTCAAATACCTTTTTAATGGTTCGTTCAATGTTTGAGGATAACTACTGTGATGACAGATATTTGGGTAAAATGCTTTCCCCTTTACTGTGATAAAATATTTTATCTTTTGGAGAAAAGGAAGAAAAGTAGTTAATTGTCTATTTCATTCCACACGCAGGTAGAATTATCCTCTTTTGAGGAGTCAACTGACCTTTTCATCATGGTGCCTTCTACCCTTGATATCGAAGCAGAGATCAAAAGAAAGTTATGAACGTTAAAATAGGTCCACTGGGAATTCAGTAGCACTTTAAGTCTTGCAATGATATACTTCTAAGTCTAAACAAAAGCTGATTTTTGTCCCAGTCTTCTTTTCTGTGTAACAATGCCTCCGGATTAGTTACCCTATGAAAATGTGCAATCCTGGCAACACCCAGAAGACTGTGATGTTCTCCCAAAGCTGGTTTCTAGGTGTGATCACAGCCTCCTTGTAGTGACTGAGACTTCACTGGAGGTACTGAGGGATGTTTCAAATCCTCACACAAGTGTGTCCCCGCAAGCTCGTTTATTGGATTCACAGAACAGTCATCCCACCAGTTTGACTAGACTTGAATTATCCACCTTCCCACGTGGCGCTGCCGGAGTGGGGAAGATTCCCTGGAGGAGGGCATGGCAACCCACTCTATTATTCTTGCCTGGAGAATCCCCATGGACAGAGGAGCCTGGCGGGCTACAGTTCATGGGGTTGCAAAGAGTTGGACACGACTGAAGTGACTTAGCATGCCCACATGCATGCCATTCACACAAGTTTAAGTGACTACCAAGTCTCCTCTTCTATGAACTGTTTAATGTGTGTGTTTTGCCAGCTGATGCAGGCACAATTGCCCGCAGAGGGAGAGAGTGAGAGATAGGTCGATACTTACAGTTGCCATGCGAAATACTGATTGGCTCAGAATCTTCTGGGAAAGCAGCCCCAGCACAATGTAGCAGTGTGAAATATAGCAGCAAGGCTTCTGACCTCATAGTAGTTCAGCGGGGAGACTTTACTTCTCTACTTCACCCTGCCAAAGAGCAAAGAAGGGATTTTTATTCTTTTCTTTTTTTTGCAAGTCTGTTTTATTCCATTCCATAAAATCAAATGGCCTTGAAGATAAATTTTAGAGAAAGGGGCCGCTGCGTTCTATCTTTCCTATTGTGGATACACCCGTGATGGTATTTTGCAGAAGGAACCTGTGTCTTATCACCCATTGCACCCTCCTCCCTCATGCATAGGAGCCCTTTTGCAAAATTTCTCCCAAACCAGTTACTCAAGAGTCTTGGTTCTTTTGCCCTGAGCCATTGTGAGGCCATTATGTGTGACTATTTCACAATCACGAAATGAGTTCTGAAAAAATGTGGGTAATTGAGAATGCTTTTTCCCCCCCTTTTAATGTAAATACTTTTTTTTTCTTCTCAGCAGGTTTACAGCAGCATGCCATCCCCAGACATGTTTTATGTGGCCAGTCCAGGATCTTTCAGAATTTTGAAATAGTTCCCCAATACTGAAAAATTAGAAGGTTTCTACCCTTCTTTAGAAAAATCAGAATATCTGACATACTGACCTAAATGACAGTTCCCTTCAAGCATTATGCTCTCAGCCACAAACACCACCACTCCACCTGACCGTCAACACCTGTACAGGCTCAGTTCATTGATTTCCCATTACCCCCTTGACCCCTTAGTTGAGATTTTCACTCCTGGTTATGTAATTCTACAGTAATTCTATAGTGACCTTAGACATAAATAAAGTCACACAATCTATGTTTAAAAAGAAAGAAATGGATCCTTTCAGACTCTGTGGAGAATGTTACAGGCAGCATCTGAAACCACATCCTGAATAGTATTGTTGACTTTGAAAAAACCCTATCTTTGTATATTTTAGTGTCAGATGTGGTGAAATGGTAGTGAATAAAAATGCCAGATATACTGTTCTACCCATCTGCATTTTCTTAAAGATGCTCTTTATGTGTAGGAAAAAAATCTCCTACATTATTACAAGTAGAAACACTCCCATGTGGGGCTGCTGGATACAGTGAAAGGAAAGTCGTAAGACAGAACATATTGCATAATTCTCAGGCATATTTCAAATAACTGTTGATCAGGGAAATTAATGTAAAATGGGGATATCTTTTTATCTTTGTAAAGTCTTTGAAGTAGCCTGCCAAAGATGGTCTTTTTTGAACAAAGCTATTTCATGGTAGTCCATCAATCATTTAAGATTTGGGTGTAATAAAGTCAAACTTAGCAACTTACATGTCTTTGAAAGTTAATTTGGCAAACAAACTGCTAACTGAGGCTTTTTGGAACACACTTAATATTAGATACCTGTGTGTCTCTTCTTCATGCCAAAAAAAGCATTAACAAGCCCCAAGTGTTGCATTGCAACTGATAATTTCACAGACACAGCTGGGTCTTAATCATTTGTTCAATCTAAAAGTGCACATTAATTAATTTGCCTTACCTTGAAAATCAAAGAGGGAGAGGGGTTGAGAGAAAAGCCTAAGCCATTCCATATCTCCATTTCTGATGTGTAGGTTAAAAGTAAGCTTTAAATAATTACTTGTTCACAAGGCAGTCCATTACCCAGAGATGCAAACGTGTATTTACAGACAGGTGAAAAGCACTGCTCTAGCCATTCATTCATTTGCCAGTTCTTCCTATTCTGGAGAATCTAAACCCAAAGGGAAGCTCTGAGATGCCCTGACTTAGCTTGTCAGGGCTTCTGTTCATTATAACATTAAGGAAGAGAAGTCAATCACAGGAGTAAGTGAAACATAAAGCAGACCCCAATCAGAAAGTATTCGGGTAAGACGAAGTGGCAACCTTTACCGAGGGCTCAAGAGCAATATCATAGTATTGTACAGAAGCCTTCACCTCTGAGAGTTTGCAGCATGCTGCGGAAGAATAATGGAGACTCAATGACAGATTCTCATTCTTTAGAAATCTTTGAGAATATCTGTATCCATTTAAAGATTAACTTTTCTTGACATGACAAAGGAGTCTGTATCCTCCCACAATTACATCCATCTTTGTACAGATGTCCTCCAGCTAATAATATATCTCCTAATTTTAATTTTTTCCATCTTAATGATTGCATGGCTTGATGCAACACTCTCAGACCCAGATGCTGGCAGGAAGAGCAACTCATGAAGAGGAAATCTCTTATGCAATCCAATGGCTTTTTTTTTTTCAATCCTTACACCTTGCCCCAGTCATGGTTGAGATGGGTTATTTAAATATCTCCAGGTTTACAGGAGGGCTCTGTGCCAGGAAAATATCTGCTTTATGTGTCTTCGTCTCATCATATCATCAGGTTTTTAACGTGTACATCATATGGGTGAAAGTGTTCTGGCAGTCCCGGTTAATCTTGGCTAGTCCACGTGAATGCTTTATAATTTTCTTCAGCTGAGGTTTTGATGTATCATTCCCTTCGTACACAACTTTGGGCTCTAACCCTTGTAAATAAGTAGACAATATATTTTCCTGCTGAAACGATGACTTTGTGGAGAGATCCCAATACAATCACATTGTCATTTTCTATCCTGCTGAACATGGGCTGAGTTTCCCTGCTAAGACCACAGCACACAGACTTGTACCAGCCCAGGAGAATAAAAACAAATTAGAACTTTTCACTGCTTTTCAACATCTTGAGCTAGCTGAGCTGCTGCCATGGGGTGGTTTAAGTGATCTGGAAGCTCTGTAAAGTGTAGCATGGGGCTTCCCAGGTGGCACAGTGGTAGAGAATCCACTTGTCAAGCAGGAGACACGGGTTTGATCCCTGAGTCAGGAAGATCCCCTGGAGAAGGAAATGGCAACCCACTACAGTATTCCTTCCTGGGAAATCCCATGGACAGAGGAGCCTGGCGGGCTACAGCTCATGGGGTTGCAAAGAGTTGGACACAACTGAGCAACTAAACAACAACATATAGCATATTTATAGGCATCTGTAGACTCTTGTCAATTTCTCTCTCTGTGACTGTGCTTGTATAGGCTGAAAATGACTTAGACTTAATAAGCTACCCAGAAAATTAGATCCTGGGAGGACTATCAATATGAGGATTCTAAACAAAAATATTTACTTCAAAAATAAGCTTATTAGGCCTGAATTTTCCATCTACATCGTCTCAGCCTTCCATTATTCTTAGCCCGAAGAGAAATGACCCGTGTAAAATATACCATCCCCAAAACATGATATTACAACACTTTTCTAACCCACAAAATTCACTGGAAAACCTTAAGAATAGGCAGATGAAGTTATGGGTAAAAAAGACATTCCTAAGACAATGGTGGGAATGTTTCCACTGGAGGAGGGCTGGCCCCTCTCCTGTGGACAGCAGCCACGCAGCTCCTGAGTGCTGGCCTGGTGCGCTGTTGGCCCACAAATCTAGTTCTTTGATTTTTTCTTTTCCTTAAGAAGCCAGAAATCTACAGTTGTATGTTAAATCTCCTATTTTTTTTTTTTCCTAAATGTTGGCAACTAATTTAGTGTTTTTCTTTGTAAGTCAGTTTGTCCAAGTCCTACTGGTTTGTGAGCCCAAGTAGAATTTTCTGGGGCAGGATTTGGGGAGTAGTGGGTAGAGGACTGGAACTAGTACTGGGCAAAGTGTGAGCAATTCTCTGGCCGGGTGGGCTTATCATGGCTTCTCAGTCATGTGGTGCTTGTGAAATTAACCTGATTAATAAGAAGGAAGATGTGACCACTGTGACCTCATTCTTTGACTTCATAACCATTTCTGGTTCTTGTGACATCCCCTTCGCTTCATGCTTTTACTGACACAATGACTTCTGTACAACAAGGGTCGGGGCAGGGGGGTAAATAGAAACCCCAGTTATTGTCAATACATGCAAGTCAATGGGCATTGCTGTTTTTCAAGACCCAAGTGGGCTGTTCCACGTACCGTCTATGTGTTCAGCTGTAGCATCACTGTACTTCGACTTGGCTATATGGATACAGCTTGCATCTGATTTGTTACAACCATTCTTCCAGAATGTTGGTACCCAGTGAACATTTGAATAGTAAGTGGTAATATGAGAAAATAAGTTATCTGGAAACTTGCAAATGCAAAATGCTCTTGATGATAACTCTTAAGTGTACCCTAGAAATAAAGAGGAAATGATGGTAGTAGCCCTTTTTTTCCTGTGAGGAAAAGCATTTGGTAACATTTCTTTTAAAAAGCACATTTTCTACTAACATCATAGGAAGTTTAAAAGGTAATCATTAATTCACGCCATCATTAATAGACAGAAGGTGTGGCGCTGGGTAAGTCTCATAGCCGCACTGACGCCTACCTTTGTCACCTATACAATGAAGGGATATAAAATATAATGGCCTACCAAAACTGCTCTGAGCTCTAAGACTAGAGCAATTACGATTCTAGGTGATTCTGCAAGTACGTGATGGTGATTCGGGAGGACAGTACATGGAGTGACCCTGAGCTGGGATGCTGCAAGGCCACAGACACCTCCTGGCGGTGTGGGGCTGGGATGGGAGGAGCAGGAGTCCAGGCAGGGTGGGCACCGGGGCTCCAGACAGCGGGAGATGCAGCTGGGCTCTGGGGGGGCGATTGTGTTAGCCCCCCTCTGAGATGACCACAGAGGTGGGAACAGAACAAACTCCATGCACCTAGCAGGTGCTCTTTCCAAAGAGAACAGGGCTGGGTTTTTTCTGTATCCTTTCCTGAAAGTGAAAGTCCCTCAGTCATGTCCAACTCTTTGTGACCCAATGGACTATACAGTCCATGGAATTCTCCAGGCCAGAATATTGGGAGTGGGTAGCCTTTCCCTTCTTCAGGGGATCTTCCCGACCCAGGAATTGTATTGGGGTCTCCTGCATTGCAGACGGATTCTTTACCAGTTGAGTTACCAGGGAAGCCAGTATCCTTTCCTGGTTGCCCCTAAATTGCATATGGTTTGGAAACTCAAGGGGCCATATTGTGTCACTGGTTCTGTATGTGGCAAACAGGAGGAAGGGAACAGGCTGTCTTCAGCTTTGCTCACTGAGGACTGCAGTAGACAGCACAGT